GTTTGCATGCGGAAGGAGCTCTGTGGGCTGTTGGGCCTCCTGCATCGCCTCATCTTGAAGAATGTAGCTGGCGATGGAGTCCTCGTCGAGGGACTCACGCGTGCCGGGCACCATCTTCATCCTCTTCATGAGATTGTAGCTGCGCGGCAAGCCCTTGACGATGTGGGTGATGTAGGACGCCGTCGAGTATTCGGCGCCCGCCATCCGCATCTCAGCCAGGATCCGTCGAGCACGGTTGCAGTAATCCGTCGCCGACTCCTGCTCGCCCATCCGAATGTGAGTCATCTTCTCCTCCAGCTGCCCGATGTACAGGTCGTCCCTGACCTGGTATGTCGACATGATGAAGCGCCATGCCTGGTGACCAGCATCCAGTCGCTCTCGACAGCTCCTGAGCGCTAGCTGCACCACCGGCGAGCAGCACCTCGAGATAACCATGAAGGTGAGCAGGTGAGCAGAACGAAACTCCCCGCGCAGCTCGACATCCTCCTCGGGCGGAATTGGCACGGTGCCGTCGGCGAAGCCCTTCAGCCCGGCGACCTCCAGCTGAGGTTCTATCGACTCCCTCCAGGTGATGAGGTCCCGTCGACCTTGCAGCGGTGCGACGGTGATCCGGTCCGGCGAGAATTTGAAGTAGCCATACGCCGGTGCAATCCCGCCTGCAGTCACATGCGTCGTCGCAGAGAGCCCTCCACCGCTTCGTAGAGGAGAGCGACGTCGAACATCGACGCCGGCACGCGAACTGCCTGCAGCCGCCGTCGACCGCTGCACTCGCGCCTGGATTCCGTCGACACCAGCGTCGACCTTGATCACCCCTCTGCCTCGTGCCTTCGCTGCCGCTGACTCGTGCACCACCGTCGACCTCGTCGTCGACGCCACCTTCGTTGCGCACCGGTCGAGGAGAAGTAGGACGGGAAGGGTGTTCCGTCGCCCACTGCGACCGGATGCCCAACTCGGCGATCACCAAGGGGATCGTCCCGTACTCGCCATCCGCGTGGCGTCTCCTCGCGTCAGCCAAACGTGCCTCCAAGGTGTCCGCTACGCCCGCATCAACTACGGGATCGACCATGGCGACTATCGCTGCTGCCAGCCTACGAACGACTTAGTAGGTGCAAAAGTCGGCTCCGATCTGAAGGTATTTGCGAGGCCGTCCACGCTCACCGCACCATGCGGAGAGTCACCCTACAATGGTAGTGAGCTAGACTACGGGGGTTGGCACGAACGACTAGAGGTGATCGTAGCTTTGCTTGGTTCCTTAGTGCTTGCACATTCACGGGAGAAATCTGCAAGAGTTTTCACTAGCAAAGTTGGAATTACAGAATAATTGAACAAGCAATGTCAACAATGACTACATCAGGCACCTAGCAACCCTGCTGCTAGCCTGGTCGACTGCCAGCGCAGCTCGGTCGACCGCCTGCCAGCGTTGCGTAGAGGAGCCGCGCCAGCACTGCAGAAGGGCGACCTGCCAACAGAGCAGGTCGACGGCGTGCCAACGCTGCAGCAGAGCGGCTGTCCAGCGTTGCCCCGTAGAACACAGCAGTGCGCACGCTCACAGATGCGCGCAGACGATTGGCTCGACTTGCCTCGTTGGGCATCCGCCGGCTGTTGTCTGCGCCTGACGAGCCACATCGACTCCGGGATACCAGCCCGCAGTCGCCTGCGCCATCGCAACCTCGACGACATTCGCGTGCCTCCGCAGAACTCGTCGAGCAGGTTACCCGGTCGACGTCCCACCTGTCTCCCAGACCAGTCAGTTGCAGCTGTCGAGCTCCCTGGTCGAGAGCAACACCACAGCGGTCACCTGCAGCTCGACGAAGCCTGTCGAGCAGCTCTCCCACTGTGAACGGTCGGCTGCTACTCCCGTACATCCGACCAAGTCGTCGGCGTTGCCCAAGCAAGGGCGGGGCCAACACTCCATTCCCGTTAACAGCACTCGCAGCTTCGCCAGCGCAGGTGCCTCTTGAGCCTCCATGTCTCGCCCCTGCAGGTGCAGTGCGTGGTGAGTGACATGGTGGAAGGCAGTGTGTGGCGAGAGGCATGGTTATAGGCACGGTGAGAGGTATGTCAGGGCGGGTAGTGCAGTGGGTGTGTGGTGAGGGGTTCGGAGGGGGAAATGGGAAACGAGGGAAGGGAGTGATGCTGTGGCACAACCATCGCTGACAACTCATCGGCCTCCTCTCTAAATACTAGAATTCCAATGCTTGATTGCTACACATCGGTTTCGTGGTGTAGTTGGTTATCACGTCAGTCTAACACATTGAAGGTCTTCGGTTCAAGTCCGGGCGAAGCCATGGAGGGAACCTGTGTCTCGTTCCTTTCTGCCACGTACTCCATGTTGGCCCCTCACCGGTCATGAATTTTCCACCATCTCCACCTCTGATCAAGCTTTGGCCTCCCATCCTTTTCAAAGTCCTCACAGCACACTCAATGGCTCGATCTCATTCCACTCCCTTATTCCAAGCAGCTCTTGAGGTGCGGAAAGGCAAGGGGCATAGTAGGGCTGTAGACTGGTGGTGAGTGGTGTGGTTTTCTTAGGGTCGGAATTTGGTGGACTCAAATTCATTCTCTTCATCATGGTGGTTGGCCTGGCGAGTGCATGGCGGGTTATGCTGTTGCTAGTTGGCTGGGCTTGTGCATGGCGCTATATTAGGTGACTATTGAGGTACTCTACATTTGATTGAGGCCTGCCCACCTGCTTGCCTGCCTGCCTGCCTGCCTGCCTGCCTGCCTGCCTGCCTGCCTGCCTGCCTGCCTGCCTGCATGCCTGCCTGTCAACTTGCCTGCCTGCCTGCCCGCCTGCCTGCCTGCCCGCCTGCCTGCATGCCTGCCTGTCAACTTGCCTACCTGCCTGCCTGCCTGCCTGCCTGCCTGCCTGCCTGCCTGCCTGCCTGCCTGCATGCATGCCTGCCTGTCAACTTGCCTGCCTGCCTGCCCGCCTTCCTGCCTGCGTGCTTTCCTGTTTGCATGCCTGCCTGCCTGCGCCTGCCAGCCGGCCAGCCTGCCTGCTTGCCTGATTGCCCGCCTGCCTGCCAGCCTGCCTGCCAGCCTGCCTGACTGCCTGATTGCCTGCCTGCCTGCCAGCCTGCCTGTTTGTCATGCAGGAAAGGCAGTGGGGTTGTGAAGTCACATGCGCCCATGTGCGAGCATGCACAGCCACATAAAATTGAGCTTATGTGAAGTCACATGCGCCCATGTGCGAGCATGCACAGCCACATAGAAATGAGCTTATGTGAAGTCACATGCGCCCATGTGCGAGCATACACAGCCACATAGAATTGAGCTTATGTGAAGTCACATGCGTCCATGTGCGAGCATGCATACATAGAGGTGTGATGGAGTGAGGCAAGGCAACCGATAAGGAAGGGTAGTGGTACGAATGGAGATGGGGGAGAAAGGGGAGATGATGGAAGGCACAGGCGGCATCACACAGAGTCTAGTATGGGGCGTGGAAGGTAATGAGGCGAATGGGAAGAAGGAAAGATGATGATTGGCATATGTGGTTCAGAAACAGAGGAAAGAGAGGGGATTGGGGCACCGGTGGATTCGCACCAACCACGTGGATGCAGAGGGAAGAACGCTTGACCAGCCCACAACAACTCTGGCATTGATGGTGCCGCTGCCCCTCTGCACATGTACGCTGCACCTGTCCCTCCTGTACCTCCTGTCCCTCCTGTACCTCATGCCCCTCTTGCCCCTCCCTCCGCTCCCTCCCAGCTGCAGTGTGAGAGGGCGTGTGGTCCGGGTCCGGGGCAAGAGTGGTGGCAGGGAGGGCAGGAGGAGGGGGTGGGGCGGGCTGGAGGAGCAGGTGGAGGGCGAGGAGGATGGTGAGCAGCGGTGGGGTGTTTGGGGGGGGAAAGGGGGTAGATGGGTGAGAGGGTGACTTTTGAGTTGAATCGCAACGGGTGGAGGAGCAGGGGGAGGGCGAGGGGGATGACGAGTCGCTGGTGGGTGGGGGAGTGGGTTAGCGGGGGAATTGTGGGTGGGTAGTGTGGTGAGATGGGGAGTGCGGTGGGGTGGGGAGTGTGGTGCGGTGGGGATGGTGAATGAGTGCCTCGTTGTTGAATGGGGATGGTGAATGAGTGCCTCGTTGTTGAATGGGGATGGTGAATGAGTGCCTCGTTGTTGAATGGGGATGGTGAATGAGTGCCTCGTTGTTGAATGGGGATGGTGAATGAGTGCCTCGTTGTTGAATGGGGATGGTGAATGAGTGCCTCGTTGTTGAATGGGGATGGTGAATGAGTGCCTCGTTGTTGAATGGGGATGGTGAATGAGTGCCTCGTTGTTGAATGGGGATGGTGAATGAGTGCCTCGTTGTTGAATGGGGATGGTGAATGAGTGCCTCGTTGTTGAATGGGGATGGTGAATGAGTGCCTCGTTGTTGAATGGGGATGGTGAATGAGTGCCTCGTTGTTGAATGGGGATGGTGAATGAGTGCCTCGTTGTTGAATGGGGATGGTGAATGAGTGCCTCGTTGTTGAATGGGGATGGTGAATGAGTGCCTCGTTGTTGAATGGGGATGGTGAATGAGTGCCTCGTTGTTGAATGGGGATGGTGAATGAGTGCCTCGTTGTTGAATGGGGATGGTGAATGAGTGCCTCGTTGTTGAATGGGGATGGTGAATGAGTGCCTCGTTGTTGAATGGGGATGGTGAATGAGTGCCTCGTTGTTGAATGGGGATGGTGAATGAGTGCCTCGTTGTTGAATGGGGATGGTGAATGAGTGCCTCGTTGTTGAATGGGGATGGTGAATGAGTGCCTCGTTGTTGAATGGGGATGGTGAATGAGTGCCTCGTTGTTGAATGGGGATGGTGAATGAGTGCCTCGTTGTTGAATGGGGATGGTGAATGAGTGCCTCGTTGTTGAATGGGGATGGTGAATGAGTGCCTCGTTGTTGAATGGGGATGGTGAAGTCTCCACAGGTGTGGGGAACAACTTCACCATCCATCGCCGTTCAACAAAAGGAAAAGAGGGAATAACTTCCTTTCAAGCAAAACAAAGCCAAGGTTACCTCACACCCTTACCCCATACCCATACCTCACACCCTTACCCCATACCCATACCTGACACCCTTACCCTCACACACGCCCATACCGTGTGCAGCAGCAGTGCAGCGGGCGAGTGGAGGGGAAGGCCCCTCCAGAGGTAGTAGTCGCTCCAGGCGAGCGGGGAGGAGGGGGGAGGCGGGATGGAAGGGGGCAGTGTGGGGTGCACGCGTGAAGAAAGAGAGGGAGACGTTGGGGGTGCAGGTGCAGCACGGGCGGCGGAAGGGGCTGATGGGCTGCTGGGCGAGAGTGCAGCAAGCTGGCCCTGGTCAGTGGCGGGTACAAGCTCAGGAGCGGAAGCGCAGCCTGGCAGGGCAGCGTGGGAGATGAGAGAAGGGGAAGCAAGTGTTGGGTTTGAGAAGCGAGTATGACTTGGGCGAGAGAATGAGCTTGGAGAGCAATAGAGGTGCCAAAGGAAGAATATCAGCAGAGAGGCTGAGATGTGAAGGCAGGGGAGAGGAGACAGGGACCGACAGTGAGAGAGTGGGAGAGGGCGGGAGAGAATGGGAGAGGGTGGGGAGTGGGAAGGCGCCTTACGGACCACAGAGGGCAGCGTAGGGACCGCAGGCATGCAGGTGGCGGGAGGAGAGGAAGGAGCACACGGTGTGCCGGCCCTGCTCCACCTGCAGCAACCATGCAACACACTCGCAGAGGGCGGAGTGGGTGGGAGAGGGAGGGAGTGGGCGCCTTGCAGGCACCAGACGGCAGTGTAGGGTCGGTGGGCTCGCATGGCGGGAGGAGGAGAGGAAGGAGCACATGGTGTGCCGGCCCTGCTCCACCTGCACCCCATATGGATGTGACAGACACATGAAGTGCACCCCACATGCAGGTGGCAGGGAAGGTGGAGAGTGCAGGAAGGGGGATGGCACGTCCCAGCCGCACCGCACCGCACCGCACAGCACAGCACAGCACAGCACAGCACAGCACAGCACATCACAGAACAGCACCTGGATGACAGAATCGTGCAGGAAAGGAAAGGGCAGGTCGAGCACAGCCGGTGCTTTCTGCAGCTGCAGTGAAAAGCGGGCGCACTCGCCCCCCTGCTCGTGCCGCCGCCAGTGGGACGCCTGAAGGGAAGCACGGGGCGTGAGGGAAGGAGGAAGGGACATGGGGCTGGGGAAAAGGGATAGACCAGGCGAGCGCATACCCCTACTGCTCGTGCTGCTGCCAGTGCGCCTCCTGAGGGGATGGCCTGTGCGGCATCGGGTGTGGAGGTCGCGGCATGGGGCATGGGGCATACATGTGAGATGGGGGAGCGGGCATGGGACATGCCGAATGGGGCATCGGACATGGGGCATGGGGCATGGGGTGGGGCATGAGACATGGGACATGGGGCATGGTGTATGGGGCATGATTATGGGGCACGTGGTTTGGGGCATGGGGCATGGCGTATGGGGCATGGGGTATGGGGCATGGGGTATGGGCCAAGAGTCACGGGGTACGGGGAATGGGGCATAGGGCAACGGGAATGAGGCGTGGGGCATGGGTGATGGGGCAAAGGAAGGACCGTATGGGAGAGGGGGAGAGAAGCGGGGGAAGGAGGAAGGGGAGGAGAGGGGCAGGGAAAAGGAGAGAGGGGCAGGGAGAAGGGAGAGGAGAACCCTATCAGGGCCTCGCGGCAGCGCTGTGGTGTGGGAAGCCACGTGCGCGACGAGGGCCTTTGGCGCTCAGCACGGGCTTGGGGCGAACGGGCGGCTGGTAGCGCGCATGAGCTGCGCGCATGAGCATGAGCTGCGCGAATGAGCATGAGCTGCGCGCATGAGCATGAGTTGCGCGCATGAGCTGTGCGCGAAGAGGGCCTTGGAGCGCAAGCCAGTGAACGAACGGCTCGGGGCGAACTGTAAAATTGGATGGCGGGTCATCGGGCGGCTGGTGGCGGACATGAGCCGCGCGCATGACATCTCGCGCTGCGCGGGCCTGGGTGCTACGGCACGCACCTGGTGTCGCCTGCTACAGTAAATGACGACGCCGCACTCGCCGCAACGAATACGGCCGTCGCATGGCGACGCGCACACGTGGCACTGCCACGACGAGTCGCGGGCGCAACTCAGAGTAGCGACAGCGCAGCACTATGCAAGCGGCCGCAGCGCATGACGGCCCTCGAAAGAGTACAATTTACCCAGCAGTAATACACTACGCATTATGCACGGCTAAGAAGCCCTGCACACTCTGCCAGTTAAAAAACGAATATAACCTGGAAGAACAAAGGAAATGGAAACTTGATAAACAAGCAATATTATATGCTCACCAATGGGGTTTTTAGTATTGGAGTATGCTGTAATGGTGAAGAATAATAATACTGCACTCCTGGTTGACGGTAAGCCTGCAAAACAAGACACGCTCTGCAACACATACAAATACAGCGTGATGTTACGTATCCCACTGACATTGCTTCAGAGGGGTTAGTCATAGCAGATTTTGCTTGACACCAGTAATACTTACCCTTAGCACAGTCAATCGCGGCGGGACTATAAGCGACGACTGTGATGCGATTGCAACAGACTTAGCTGCAACCGTAAGAAGGGGTTAAATTTATACAAAACAAAAAATGAACATGACATGGCAAAAAACTAAACACATCGCGTCGCAAATAGCGTGCATACCCTCACGGAAAATGCTGACATCCGTCGACCAAATCGGTCGACTGCCTGAGTCGGACGTATGGATCTTCGCGACGATAGCTGCTACGCACGAAAAAAATATATGAAACGCCACATTGAAATGAGTATGAACCTGAAGATACCAGTTAATTAAAACTGGACGATAAAAAAAAAAATATACAACTTCACCTGTGAGATAACAACGGTAAACGTACCTGCGATGTTGCGTGACAATGTCCTTCCTCGCCGCGACTCACGTGTACCCCAGCATCCAGCGAAGCTACTGAAGCGCGACGTTGATGGCGGAACGAAGCCGCCGTCTGAGGAGAAGAGGGATGTGGAAAAGGGACAGAGATGGCAGGAATAAATTAAGATACTAACTTGGCTAACGCAACATAGTCAGGGCGTTCTAAAACGCCACATAGTTGTCGGCTTGAAGGAACTTGGAGCGCGCTTCTGCTGCACTTCAAAGGGAGAAATGGAAAGGGGGGGGGAGAAGGAGGTTGGTTGTGTGTATTAGTACGGGGGACTACAGGCACAGAGAGGAATCGAGGGAGATGGATTCTCGAGGAAAAGGTGAGAGCATATTCGGTGCACGTTTGGTTTGCCTTGGTTGGATGGCTGACGTGTATATTTCGGCGTGTGCGGATTGGGTGTAAATGATTTTTAGGCTAACACGTCACACTTCTGAAGAAGCCCATCCACTGTCTGAGGTTTGGAGTTGGTTGGTTTGGGTTTAGATTTGGGAAAAACGAAAGCGGGTTTCCAGCTGTACAAACTCGCTTGGTTTCGTTGCTTCGCGTTGTTTCGTTTGTTCTGTTGTTACATTTGACAAACATTGTCAAAGTACTAAACCGCTTGTAATCTGTGTTGACCGTGCGTCACCGCATGACGCGAAAATGTTGACGGAATGGCAACTTTTGCGTGACAGTTTAGTTTCAGTCAAACCCCTCGAAACTGGTGTGCGGATTGTTGCATTTTGCGTGCGTTGTTTTTTGTACACTTCGCGCAACTAAGTCGCAGTTTTTTCGCAGAAAAACCTTCGGACCCCCCAAATCGCAAATTTCCTTTTCCGCGATGCTTTCTCGCCCTCGCTCGCGTCAGCGCTGCTGGCGGAGCTGCTCGCCGCGGGGCGCGTCACGCCGCCGCTGCTCGAGTAGGCCGTGAGGCTGGGAGGCTGTCTGCGCGCTCACATGTCCATTCATTCCCTCCCCTCCCCTCCGCTGCTCTCCTTATATGCGTCACGCTGCCACTGCTCGAGTAGGCTGTGAGGCTGCGACTCGCTGCGAGGCTGCGAGGCTATTTGCGCCCTCACATAGAATCTCATTCCCTCCCCTCCCCTCCTCATACACGGGACGCCGTCGCTGCTCGAATAAGCTGCGAGGCTCTCTGCGCACTCAAATACCCGCTCATCCCTCCCCTCGCAGCCTATTTGTGACGCTGTCACGCCCCCCTCTGCTCCTGCACAAGCCCTGGACTTCCTTCATCATGTCCTCCTAGCCTCCTTCTCTCTCGTCTCCTCCCTTCATCCCCTCTTCTCGTCTCGCCCCTCCGCCCTTGTCGCAGGCTCTTCGCCCCTTCAGCAGACCATGTGGACCTCTCTTGCCCGCCGCTCGCCGCCCCTGCCGTCTCCCACGCGCCAGCAGCGCTGCAGACCCCCCACGCGCTCCCGCACCCTTCCCCCCACGCGCTCCGGAACCCTTCACCCCACGCCACGCCCACGTATCCCATCCCTCCCCCGTTCTCGCCCTCCCTCTCCTCATTCTCCTCGATCCCGCCTTCCTCCCATCACGGCATTTTAAACCCGTCAGAAGCCCTTTCCCCCTCGCCTCCTCTCTATGCCATGCCGCCCGGCCAATCCATAGACGCCACGTGGCTTGCCTACCTGGCAGACTTCCGCTGCCTTCGCTCGCTCCGGCTTGACAACTGTCGCCAAGTCACCGACTCTGCTCTCAGCATGCTCTCAGGTATCCTTCAGGTGCTCCCTCAGGTGCTCTCATGTGTTCTTCCAGGTGGGTTCTCTACGTGCATTATGGTGTGACTCCTCCCATGTTTTGTCCTATCGTGACTTCTTTACTTCCATCAACCGCCATTCCCCCAGTCACCTCGTCCCAGGGTTCAACAGAACACCAACTGCCCTTCCTTCATGTCTCTCACTCCTTCCCTCTCTCTCCCCATCCCCAACCCCCCCACCACCCTTAGCACTGCCTTATTGCATCTGAGCCTCACCAACTGTCCTCTCCTCATGGCACTCTCTCTCACTCCTTCCCATGCTCTACCCCCTCTACCCCACTCCCCCTTCCCCGCATTCTCCCCACCCCCCTTACCACCCCCAGGTCTGCACGCCTTGGAGCATCTGAGCCTCACCAACTGCCCTCTCCTCACCGCCACTTCACTCGCCGCCATCCTGCCGCCCTGCCAGCCCGCGCTGCGCTCCTGCTGTCTCTCCGGCACGGCTGTCGGCATGGGCGAGGGAGGGGGGGGAAGAGGCAGAGAGGAATGGGTTGTGGCAGTGAAGAGCAGGCGGAGAAGCAAGGGCAGCAGGAGCAGTGGCAGCGGTGGGGGCGGTGGCAGCATGGCATCACCTGTTAGCACATTACCTGATTCCAGTGCAGCAGAGAGCTCAGCCTGCATACCTGCGCCTTCTGTGGTTTCTCTGCTCGCCGGCGCCCCTCACCTCACTCACCTGGAGCTGGGCGGCATGCACCATGCATTGGATGATAATGCCTTCCAAAAGCTTGCGGTGGGTCAGAATGTGCCTTGTGCTAGTAGCCATGCAGTCTATGTTTCATTCGCCATGCTCCCACTCAGCCGGGTCCCTCAAGCATGCTTCCTCCCTCACCTCGTTCACCTGTAGCTGAGTGACATTCCCCACCCCTCCCCCCAATGCCCAACCCCCCCAGTCGTTGGTGCATCTGCGGCATCTGTCAGTGTGGGGCAGCAGCATCACCAACGCATCGGCCCCTCTGCTGCTCGCCTTCCCCCGCCTGCTCTCCGCCAACCTCGCCTGGACCGCCCTCTCCCACCTCCCCGCCCACCCCTCCCTCACCGCTCTCCACCTCTCCCACTGCCCCCTCCTTTCCATTGGCTTCCCTCTCCCCTCCTCCTCCTCTTCCTCTCACTCCTCTCCCTCTCCCCCCCTCATTCATCTCGTTCTCTCTGGTGCCTCCATCGCCCCTCCCTCCTCCCTCTTCCCTCCTCACCTCCTCGCCTCCCTCACTCACCTCGACCTCTCCCACTCACGTGGCGCCACACTCCCTCCTCCCCACCACCCTCCGCACTTCACTCCTCCCCTACGCCCTCACACCCCGCTCTGCGGCCTGCAGTGGCTACAAGCAGCACTCTCCCTCGCACATCTGGACCTCTCCGCTGCTGCTGTATCTGACGCCCTTCTGCTGCACCTTGCGCACTCCCTCCCCCACACGGTCAGTTCCTCCCCATCTCTTCTCCCTCCCTCCCCCCCCCATCTGCCCACCACTCCGCCATGCGCCCTGATTAATCATTGCACCTCAACCCTCCCCTTTCTCTCTGTTCCGTTTTGACCTTCTTGGTAGTGTTTTCAGCGCATCTGTGTGTTTGCTTTCAGCGTCCTTGTGTGAGCTGCATCAGACTGAACCCTCATGTGCTCCTTTCCCCATCCACAGTCAATGCCACAAGGCAATAGCACTCGTGACGCACAAGGCATTGCCGCCGGTGCCAACAGCACCACCAGCAGCACCACCACCACCCCTTCTGCGTGCCACGCCTTCCCCTGGCAGCACCTGTCACTCGCCTCCTCCCCTGACCTCTCCTCCAGGGGGCTGGCTGCTCCGCTGCCGCTCACCCCACGCCTCACCTCGCTCTCCCTCGCCCACACTGTGGCGTCGAACGCATGTTTGCCCCTCCTCGCCTCCCTGCCGCTCCTCTCCTCCCTCTGCCTCGATGGCTGTTTCATCTCAGGTGCGCTCATGCGCACCACCCGATCCTACATCGGTTTGTTTTCCCAATAGCATTTTCTGGGTCTGTTGATGTTGATGGAGTGTCCTCTATGACACAACATCAATGGCGTTTGGTTGTGATTAATTGAATGTGCCTCCATGCCTCCATGCCTGCATGCCTGCATGCCTCCATGCCTCCATGCCTCCATGCCTCCATGTATGACTGCAGGTGGGACATCGGATGATAACGTGGAGGATGGCGAGGAGGAGGAGGACGAGGAGGAGTCTCTCCTCAGGCTCCACCTCGCACACCTGCACGCAGCAGCACCACCACCACCAGCCTCTGCAGCAGCAGCAGCAGCAGCGGCGGCGGCAGCAGCAGCAGCAGTTGGTGGTGCTGGTGCCGGTGGCAGTGGCAATGCATATGCTGCGTTTTCCAATGGCATGGAACGGCAGTCAGCCATGGCAGAGGGCGGGCTGGCCGTGCTCGCCTCGCTGCCACACCTCACCTCCCTCAGCCTGCATGACACACCTCTATCCACACACGGCATGCTGCGACTGCGCCATCTCACTCACCTGCACCACCTCTCCCTCTCCTCCACTGCCCTCAGCCCCCGCCGCTTCCTCTCCCTCCTAGGTAACCCCCCCACCCCCTTCACCATCCCAAATTGAGTGCCTTTTGATTCAAACTTGCAGCTATATTGTGCAACCAGCCTCCCCATTCTCCTCTCATTCTTCGCTCAATATTTTTCTCATTCTCGCCTCATCCTTTGCGCAATCTCCTTGTTTTTCTCTCGATTCATTGCTCTTTTTGAGTGCTGTCTCACAGTTTCCTTGTTTTTCTCCCCTTCCGCTTTCGCCCATGAGACAGCTTTCTGTCCCTGCCACCACCTGCGCCTCTCCTCGCCGCACATCACCGCACTCCACCTCTCCTCCCTCCGCCTGCACCCCTCAGTCCGCCTCCTCGACGCCTCCCTCCTCCTTTCCCTCTCTGCCCCACACGCCATGGCTCTCGCCAATCAGCTCGCGCCACGTGTCACCGTCCTACACGCATCTGACAGCTGTCGCAGCCCAGGGGAATGGATGCTGCAGCAGCAGGCAGAGGAGAGAAAGGGAGCACGGAGGGAAGGAGGAAAGCAGAGGACGGGGAGAAACGGGACCATGGAGAGCGGAAAGGAGGGAGGGGTGGAGGGAGGGGAGGGGAGGGAGGGGCAGCAGATGGAAGGAAGGCCGATGGGGAGAGGGTCAGGTGGCAGTGATGGGGAAAAGGAGCAGAGGGGCCAGCATGGGAGCAGCCAGATTGAGAACTCTTGTGCGATCCTGAGCAGAGCAGGTGATTTTCGGGGCCAGTGGGAATGCAGGAGAGTGGGAAGGAATGCATTTAGCAACAGTGCATCATGGGAGCTTTCAGTTGCCAGGTGAAGTTCCAGTAGCTGAGAGGGAATTTTTAGTTGCCCAGGTGAAGTTTTAGCAGCCGAGAAGGAACTTTCAGTTGCCCAGGTTAAGTTTCAGAAGCCGAGAAGGAACTTTCAGTTGCCCAGGTGAAGTTTCAGTACTGTGGCTAGTGCATGCGTGAGGAAGGTGAGGGTGATCTCGAACAGGGAAGTGGCAGGCTAAGCCATAGCTTTCATGCTTCACCGTTCCCCTCCATCCCTGCACATGATCTCACACAGTGCACTCTCCAGGCCTTCCGTGCCCTCATGACTTTTGAGTCGACTCAAAAGTGCTTTGCCGTTCCCCTCCACCTTTGCGCATGGTCTCTCACAGTACACTTTCCAGGCCTTGCATGCCCTCTCGGGAGAATTTGAGGCATTTTTGAGAATTCTTAAAGGTAACCCTGGTTACCTCGTGTATCCTCACTCCCTTGCTGCCACTACTAGCTCGTCAGACTCTTTCACCTCCCCCACCCAACCCTAGCAGATGAGAGGCGCAAATTCACCCCGGCTGAGCTCAAGTCGTTGCGAGGTCGTGCCCAGGCGCTGCAGCTGCCTGTAGCGTTGCCAGCGCACCTCACCCGCAAGCAAGCGTGGTAGAGGTCTATTCATTTCATTGATCTGGGGCAGTGTTGCCAGGTGGAGCCGTGTGGATGGGAGATGTTGTGATGTTGCTATGCAGATGAGGAGTCACGTTTTTCTATATGGTAGTCTCAAAACACTCTAGGGTGCACTATCGGGGGAAAGTGTATAGCACCCTATGTGTATTTATGTTTTTCGATACCGTAAAAAAAAATTATGTTTCCTTGCACACTGCACCATTGCCAGGCTAGGATGACTTATGAGCACATTATTTCAACATGAATCTGTGCTGGGTGTAGATGTGTGTTGTCTACGTACGTATAAAACCCTTGTTCTGAACACAGCTTATTGTTTTCTACTTGGCCCAGCGGCTTACCACGAGGCAAAGGGGCATGGTTCATAAATGGCCACGAGGTGGCCACTGGCCCTTTTCTACTTGGCCCTGAGTAGGCTTCCAATTATAGAATCCCCCCTTGTTTGTGGATTTTGTTCTCTGTTGGTGCAACTCCATGATTTATACTTGAGTTGTACTTATCCTTGTGCGTTTGCATCCCAAGTCCCTTCTACATACCAGCAGCAAACGGCATGTCCGCACGCAAGCAATCTGCCATCTGTGAGATGAGAGACCACATTCAGAATGTCCTCACCCACTTCCACGCTTCAGCGCGCACTCATCTTCCCATTTATTTCACACTTCCTCTATTGTCAACCACAACTCAACAATGCAAATCCAGTATGATATACATAACAAGGACTAATTAGCCATAGTGTACGATGTATCTGACAGCAAGCACCCTGTAGGATGATTCAGCAGCTAGTGAGTGCCGTACGCCTATGACACACTAGTGTGTGCCGTACGTCTATGTCACGCTGGTTGCGGAGTCACTCTGCATGCCCTCTTGCTCTGCACGGGCCATTTCAGCAGTGAAGCTGGAGGAGCCAATAAAACTCCCACTCTCCATGTTGATGCGAGACATGGCATCGCCCACATGTGCTCCGAACGCCTCTTGCTTCAATTTCACCAGCTCTCCCAGCACTTGATTCATGGAGGGGCGGGTGACTGCAGGCATGGTGGTGCAGGAGAGCGCAAGGCAAGCCCAGCGCAGCACCAAGTCGTCTGGTGCGTCTAAGTATGGGTCCTTGAACATTGTTACGGCATCTGACTCCACGAACGGGGCGATCTGTTGGGTTCAAATTGAACACACCCATGCGGATATATGCTTGAATGACCAATGCTCTACCATGCTAATGGATCAAGCATTGAGCAGTAGTCATGCGGTTTTTGCTCAAAGGATCTAGGGAGTAAGATTGTGCCTAGCAACTGTGGCTCACCCATTGCCTCAGGCTGATCTGGCTGGTCTCGCTCACATGCACAGCCTTGCGTGCTGAGATGACCACCAGCATCACCACACCAAAGCTGCCACCACCAGACCAGCGACAGAAACAAGGGGACCAGAATGGAGGGTGATGAGGGGCATTTGAATGAAGTGTGCCATGCCGACCTGCATAAAACACGTGTTTATCCCCTCAAAGCAAGGCACATCTTTGTGCTCACCTGTACACATCTGCTGCTGGAGTAGCCTTGTGAGACTTGTAGTAGGCAGGGTCCACATAGCCCGGTGTTCCCATCACTCGAGTGGCAGCCACAGACATGCCCATAGCAGTGGTCTCAGTGAGTTTCACCAGTCCAAAGTCTGCAATCTTGGCCTGGACAACAATCACAAGTGCATGTTAAGAATGTAGGCAAAGTCAGGTAGACAGTCAATACTGTTCTTTGAAAAATCAGAGCATGATATGAGAACAGAAATAACTCAGATATTTCAAACGGAAGAATATCTGAAGTGGATGTTATGACAGACCTGCATTTTTGCACCAAGGAGAATATTGGCTGGCTTGATGTCGCGATGCACAATGCCAAAGTCATGAAGATATTGCAGCCCCTTTGCCACTCCAATCAAAACATCCAGTCGTTGCAACAGAGAGAGGTGGCTTGGAGCTCCTAAGAAAAGGTATTTGAAGAAATATTTGCAATAGAAATGCAGGGCACAAGACACGCGGACAATAAAGTAAGGGCATGGTGGAAGCTGCAGGTCACAAGGCGGCGAGTCTAGCCATTCAAATATCTTTTCTATCCAAACTCACTTTAGATACAAATATGTGTTCCACTTAAAATGGTTATTGAAGGGAGCAATACAAAATCCATCAGAATCAAAATGAAGTTAGATTACCTGGTCAAATCCAGCTCCCCAAGTCCCGGTTCGCCATGAACCCATACACGAGCACCTGTTCTACGTTAAGGGCTACTGAAGGTTGAAAAGGAAAATCTGTCAAGTTTAGGGGCAAGACAGCTTACCTGGTCCAATCCAGGTCTCCAAGTCTCGGTTCGCCATGAACTCATACACGAGCACTTGCTCAATCCTGCCCGTGCTTGAATCGTAGTTCGCACAGAAGCCCAGCAGGCGCACCAGGTTGGGGTGGTGCTTGCTGGCCATCTCCTTCACCTGTGAGATACAAAAACGTATCATGATTGGCCAGGATGAAATGAGTGTGTGTGTGTGTGTATGTTTGTGTGTGTGTGTGTGTGTGTGTGTGCGTGTGTGTTTGTGTGTGTGTGTGTGTGTGTGTGTGTGTTGAAATGGATGTAACTATTTGACTCCTATGTGAAGCTAAAATCTGCGCAATGGGAGTGTGTCACCTCAGTGAGGAAGTCATTGGAGAGAACTCTAGAGCGCTTCACAGCCCACATCGAATTCGGATCATGCAGCGACACACCCTTGTACACATCCCCAAAGCTGCCACTGCCAATCCTGTTCCCTTCTGCCCACTCTCCCGTTGCTCTTGCAAGCTCTTCCAGAGTGAACTTCTGGCACACATGTGGCGTCACTGCCTCCATCTCCTCCACCAGGTTTCTCTGCTTCTCCTGTGCTGCTGCGCCCGCTGCCACAACTGCCGCTGCAGCAGCAGCTGCAGCGCTTGCTTCCGGGTCCCTCTCCACTGCTCTGGATGCTGCGTTTGAATAATCAGTTTCAGAGTCTGTGAGAAGTTGTGAAGGTGGAAGTAAGACGAAGATGAGAAAAGTAAAGTGGATGAGAAACCGGAAAGGAAGGTCCGGGATGGTGGAGGTTTCCAGGCAGTGTGGATTGGAGATATCTTACCTTGGAATGCACTTTCTTCTGCCAAATCCTTTCCAACCACATCAGTGTCAGTGTCACCTCCTCCTGCTGCCCCTTTGGTGCGGCATCGCTTCCACAGCAACCAGCTCAGCAGCAGCAGCGTGAGGACAGCCATACCCGCAGCAACAGCAATGCCAGCAATGGTTCCGTTGGATAGACCGCTTCCAGACTGGGATGGAGAGGCTGATGGTGTTGGCACTGGCGATGGGGAGGGTATGAAATCTGAGTAGGAAGAAGGAGATGCCGAAGGGAGAAGGAGGTTAGATATGGGGTTGGCGAAATGGGATGTGGGACAAGGAACAGTTTGCTCGGGAAGAGGAAGCAAAGGCTGAAACAAATTCTCTTCTTTAAGCATGAGCAAATTCTATTCACTAAGATGGATGGGTAGTTGTGAGCATTGCATGATGTGAGGAGTAGCTGGGCTGTGAATGCTTGACGTTGGAAAATCTTGTTAGGTTTCATGCAACACAGTGCCTACGCACTCAGCACTATTGAGAGCAAAGAAATCAAAGGTAGTATGAATTGCAGCCACCAGCATTGGGAGATTGCATCACCTCGTTGTGGCTTGTCACACGTGATGCAAAATGAGTCACAGTGCCTGCAGAAAGCACTGGAAGCATTCTGTGGGACCATGCAGCTGCTGTAGTCAGGAGGGCATGTGATTGCAGTCGAAGATATGTACCTGCACATCCACAGGGAGCGTTATCAAGCTATGGATCAAAGGCCTGTTTTAGCTCTGAGGTTGCTATTTGAGACGTATGGCAACACATTGCCATATTCCACTATCCCAATTTGTCTTATAGGATGAAAATACAGGTGAAGCATACATTGGGTTTCTATTTTTTGCTATAGAAATTGACTTGACTTGGATCAGTGCAGTTCAATAACTTTTGGGCCAAAGAGGATTGGGCCGAGTCAGTCCATGTGCGGCCCATGGCACCTGTGGCTGCAATGGAACTTGGGCTATGGGGCTGAATACGTCAATCTGACTATGATAAATTTGCAACACTTTAATATTCTAAGAAGCCTTACAAGGATGGAAGCAGACTGAGATTGCCTATTGTTGGGGGGAGTTCACCAGTGAGGTTGTTCCAACTGACATCACTGCAATGAAAATGGCAGAGATTGGATAGAAACCCGTCTAGAGCATCGCAAACACATGATGGTGCGTACATGCCGGAGGTTTCATGTGTATAGACACCAAGGAATGAACCCAAAAATGGTAAAAGGTTGGAGAAATTGGGGGACGGAGATCAGAAGCCGCGGTATGTCAACGTAGGATTGTGGCAGGATCCTATGCGGCAATCTCATGCTGACATGAGTAAAATTTATACGGTCAATCGAATGCCCCGGTCGGGTCGACTCAACCTGACCCAACCCGGATTTTGCTCAGATTAGGTCACCCCACCAAGATAGTTAGCGGGTCAACAACTTGAACCGGACCAGACTAATCTTGGCCGTTGGTACCTTCTATAGCTCCTATCTATGGTTGAACTAGAACTTTGGTTATGTCACACCAGGTGGAACGTCTTTGTACCTAGTAGTATGCCTCAATTTCATGAAACGCTTTATTGTATACATTTATTAACATGATAAGACGCCTTACAGGTGTGAAAGACGAGTAAGATGGCCTATTGCTGGAGGAATTTGGCCACTGAGGTTGTTTTGACTTACATCGCTGCATTGAAAACGGAAGTTAATAGTGGGAATGGACCCAGTCAATGCACTGCTAACAAGATTCCACATGGCGTTTCCATGCCCGAGGTTTTATGTGTACAGAGATGATATCACGCATTCACAAACGGCTGAGAGGAAGCAAGATTGGCCTGTGGTGACTGCGAGACAAGAGGAGAAAAACAGGTTTGGCACTCGGAAGTCTGAATACGGAAATGAATTAGTTGGTATAGGAAAATGGAAATACAGATCTGATACTCGCACAGAGAAGAACTGAAGGAATTGAGGAGAGAATAAGGTATACGCAATCTGCCCCAAACAGGGCAGCCCTTCGGGGCATGGGTAGTACTTAGCAGTACTGAATGCTGTATTTTCTCGCTTGCATTTCTGTTTTCACATGACATTGGATCTCGAGTCGTTGTGCCATCAAGGATGCTCTTCATGTTGGGTGCAAAACGTATTTTGCACGTCAACCTGTCGCCTATTCGTCGAGCAAGGTGACATTTGAAGTATTTTGTCTTGAGGTAATTTGTGGTTTGTGTGATGCGCATTTGTGTGCTTTTCATTTTGGCGTTTACGGTTCATGAATCGCCTTAGCGGTTCATAAGTTATGTCTGTTTCTGTGATGTTGCATTCATGAGCGTTCATGACTGTTCGCGTGTGTTTCGTGAGTGCATGCAAGGAGTTTCGGATTTTCCTGAGTGTTCATGGTGTTTCATGAAGTTCCGAATGTCCATGAGAGTTCATGGAACTTCGCGTCTTGTTATTGAGTGTTCGCGTGCTGTTCGTGTACGTTCATGAGCGATCATGTACGATCATGTACGATCATGTTCGTTCATGACTGTTTGCGTTTTCTGTCATGATTTTTCATGTGTGTTTAGTTGAGTTGCGAGTGTTTTTGCTGCTGGGATATTTTTGCGTCAGTCAAGGTAAAGTGGCGCGAGAATCAGGACCCACGCGTGGGGTCCAGATTTTGCGCGTGTCCCTCAGGGCTCGCGCGTGTGCCGTGGCACTGTTGCGAGCATGGCAGGGCCCATGATCGCAACAGGACAGGGCGAATTATCGCCCTGTCCACGCGCAGGACAGCGCACGTCCGCGCACTGTACAGCACGACCGAAATATCGGTTGTGCATGATTACGGTCAAGGGGTGCTCGGGATTTCAGTTGAAAAACCGAATCCCGCGTTGACTCGGCGAACAGGTAATTTCGCCAGAAATGTCGCGCGCATAACGTCACAATCTCGATACAGGGAAGAAACGGTGAAAATTGTTTTGTAACTGTAAAAACCTTGGGAAAACGGTAATCCCACACGAGGAAGCATGATTCGACATGTGCGTTCATGATCCTTCGTGAGCGTAGTCAGCAGGGGCATTTGGCAGACATGATATTTGAAGACAGTTATTCTACAGAAGCGAGCCAAGCCAAATTCCGTAGCAGTTGGACAACCGTTTTCCTTTGCACATCTGGCGAAGCCTTGAAGTCTAGTTAAACAACTGCTTTGTGTTTCCTTTGTGTGTGCGTAGGCTCTGATATTAAATGTGTGCTTGTGTGAAGTTGTAATCAATCTTTTGGTGAATGAAAATTGCTCTATCGACGTATTGACGCGAGGAGCCATTCTGCACACGCACCTATCGATCGTCTAACGCTGCGCAATTGAGCTTGGGAATGCTCTTAGTGCACACGACCATTTTTACACTAAGGAAAATCCCTCTACAAACACGGACTCTTGGTTAGGGGCTGGCGTTGCTAGGCACCCGAGGACCCTTGGAGGTGACCCCGTGGGGACTACCTAGAGTGTATTAAAGGTGTTCTTAAGGGTTTCTAGATCCCAATAGTAGTCAACACTTCAGTGGGTAAAACCAACTCAAGCAAGCACGAGTGAGTGAGGATATTGGGGGTCTTGCTAGCAGGCAAAACAGTGAGCCTGCCAAGCTAACACCTCAGTAGCATTGTAGAGCCTAGGAGCAGAGGCTTCTAGGACATACTAAGAGTTTTTAAATAGGCCAAGATGCCTTACAGATGTGAAAGAAGAGTGAGACGGCCTAATTCTGGAGAGATCTGGCTATTGAGGTTGTTTTGACTCACATCGCTGCATTGAAATGAAATGTAATAGGCAGGATAGACCCAATCAACGCATTTCTAACAAGATTCCTCATACCATAGCTGCCCGACCAAGCTAATGAAGAGTTTTTTTTTAGAAATGCACTAAGTCAATGCGCAAACAACCCCAGTCAATGCATTGCTAATGAGATTCCTCATACGCTTGGTCGGGCAGCACCTTTAAAAAAACCATAGTCTCAGTACAAATTGAATGATTCTGATTACAAGTGCCGAATGCGACCATCTATCCCTTACCCAATGTCGCGGAACCTCACAAGCAGTTGTCCGCTAGTAGCCAGAGGGGCGAGGTTCTTGTTTGGAGTTACTTAAATCGTCTGCTGCATCCTCAACTCACCCGAAGGACATTTTTCCCATATTTCGGAATATTTTGTACACTAAAATCAGCGTAACGTATGTGTGGAAGCGTATAGTTGTCCGCGTTCCATGATATTTTCCAACATAAACAGAAATGTACCAAAAGATGGTAGAAGGTAGGAGAGAAAGGGTGCAGGAGATAAAAAATAAATTATTTGCTGACTTTGGGATTGTGCGAGGAGCCGCACATCCTATGAGGCAATTCCAGGTGAACATGGATGATTAACTCGTGGTGAAAAATGTTGTTCAACCGTCATGACTTAGTCCGGTCGAGCATGAGGAAGCATATGAAACTTAATGTGGTTTTGTTTTGTTTTGTTTTGTTGCTTTTTTTTTTTAATGTTACGTAAAAAACACCCCGGATCCGACACAAAGAAGCTGTCGGGCCGAAGAAAATTGAGTTGGGCCAGTCCAAGTTGTGCCCTTGGTACTTTGTACACCTACCTATGGTTACTGCAAGTTCGCTCCGTGGGTTTGGGCAGTTGTGCATGGCCAGCCATGGCCTGCTAGGTGGCTGCCATGCCTGTCTATATGTCATATGCGCATGCATTGTAGGTTTCTTATCGGGTCCTCTCGCGTGGCTGAAAGCAAACTGGAAAAGAGAGAGGATGAGGGCTCAAAGCAACAGTGCATCGATACATAAAGCAAAAGAGGAAAACACTTGGTAAGGTGCCCATGCTTGCAATGCAATCCCTCTCGATAGCCATAACCTAGGAACGGTCCAGTTCCCCAATGAAAACGGTATTTGAGTCACCAAAAAAATCAGCCCATTTCTTCCCTAAAAACGGTATTTGAGTTGACTAAAAAATCGGCCCAGTTCTCCCCTGAAAACGGTGTTTGACTTGACTACAAAATCGGCCCAGTTCCCCCATGGAAAGGTTATTTGAGTCGACTCAAATATAGGCCCAGTTCTCCCATGGAAACAGTTTTTTTCTTCTCAAAGGTCAGCCCATTTCTTCCACGGAAACAAAAAAAATCGGCCCAGTTCTTCCAGGAAAACAAAAAAATCGGCCCAGTTCTCCCATGAGATTGGCCCAGTTCTCCCATGAGATTGGCCCAGTTCTCCCATGAGATTGGCCCAGTTCTCCCATGAAATCGGCCCAGTTCTCCCATGAAATCGGCCCAGTTCTCCCATAGAATCGGCCCAGTTCTCCCATAGAATCGGCCCAGTTCTCCCATAGAATCGGCCCAGTTCTCCCATAGAATCGGCCCAGTTCTCCCATGAGATCGGCCCAGTTCTCCCATGAGATCGGCCCAGTTCTCCCATGAGATCGGCCCAGTTCTCCCATGAGATCGGCCCAGTTCTCCCATGAGATCGGCCCAGTTCTCCCATGAGATCGGCCCAGTTCTCCCATGAGATCGGCCCAGTTCTCCCATGTGATCGGCCCAGTTCTCCCATGAGATCGGCCCAGTTCTCCCATGAGATCGGCCCAGTTCTCCCATGAGATCGGCCCAGTTCTCCCATGAGATCGGCCCAGTTCTCCCATGAGATCGGCCCAGTTCTCCCATGAGATCGGCCCAGTTCTCCCATGAGATTGGCCCTGTTCTCCCATGAGATCGGCCCTGTTCTCCCATGAGATCGGCCCTGTTCTCCCATGATATCGGCCCTGTTCTCCCATGAAATCGGCCCTGTTCTCCCATGAAATCGGCCCTGTTCTCCCATGAAATTGGCCCTGTTCTCCCATGAAATTCGCCCTGTTCTCCCATGAAATTGGCCCAGTTCTCCCATGAAATTGGCCCAGTTCTCCCATGAAATTGGCCCAGTTCTCCCATGGAAACTGGTCCGTGAAGGGTGACGCCCAGCCTGAAGTTGAACTAAAACGCTTTGAGGTTGATATTTTTAGAGGTATGGTAACACATTGCAATAGTCCAGTATGCCACGATGTCTTACAGTCTCACAAGAGACCAGTGAACCACACATTGATAGTTTATATTTTTCCGGCGAAAGAGCGCGGGCTGGCTTGGACCAGCCCAATTCTATAGCTGTTAGACGAGAGGATTGCGCTGGGCCAATCCAAGTTCGGCCCTTGGTACGTTGTAAGTATACCACCTACTTGTGGCTGCAAAAGAACTTGGGCTATGGTACACTAATGAAAAACCTTGTACCTTGTACTAGATGCCTTACAGGTATGAAATTCGAGTGCGTTTGCCCACTGTTGGAGGGAGCTGGCCAGTGAGGCTGTTATCACTGACATCACTGCAACGAAAATGACAGAGAATAGATGGAGAAGGCCCAGTCAAAGAAATGCTAGCAATCTTTCTGACGGTGAATACATGCCACAGGTATGGACGATGGGACAGAAAAATGAATAGAATAAAGGTAGAAGGTACAAGAGACAATTCGAAAGGATGACAATAGATGCATGGCATGTTGACTTAGGATTGTGGCGGAGCCGGACATTCTACGAGGCAATTTTAGGTTGAGATGGAAAATTAAGTCGACATGACTGGGTCCAGTGAAGCACGACGAAGCATAAAAGGCTTAGTCTGTTTTTTTTTTGGCAAACATGCAAAAACAAATCGGCTGTTGACTCGACAAAGGTTGGGCCGGGCAAGTCCAATTTCGGCCCCTGGTACCTTGTATACCTCCTCCTACCTACCTATGATCAGTGCAAGGTCTCTCAGGCACTTCTAAATAGCTACCCATGGTTTGCTAGGTAGCTGCCATGCCTGTCCATGCCATATATGCATTACACGCGCATGCATTGTAAGTGACTTATCAGTTCTCATGCCAGGTCGAAAGTCGTGCTCATGTCAATGGAAAAGAGAGAGGTTGAAGGATGAAAGCGAGAGTGCCTCAATGCATCAAACAAAAGTTGGAATCTCTCTAGTTGGGATTGGTATTGTTGGTGCAACCTCATGGTTTGCACTCAGCTTGTTGTCCTTGTCTTTGGACATGTGCTCGCATGGAATAGATATGAGACTATTATACAATATGTTCCATGCCGAAATGGGTGTGTGAATGATGAAACATGATATCAAAAGTGTGTTGTGTCATTATAACATTTTTGCGAACCACATGTTTCGACATGTCTTAGTGTGTGCTGCAACCTTTGATGAACTCACGGAAGAATCTATATTGAAGATCTAGAGCCAAGAGTCTAAGAATCAAGTTTGTTCGGAGCTCTCAAGTTTGTGTGCTGTACCATTTCTTTTAATACATATCCTTGCGTTGTGTAGATAATTTCGCGAACTTTCAAGGCTGAGAAATGGATGGCAGTGTTCTACCTTGCTGGGCTTCGGTTTTCCGGGTTTATAGAGGCTGAGAGTTATTCTCGTCAAACTTCTTCCTGATTTGTAACCTATACTATTGCCGTAGTACCCTTCCTTAACATCAGAGATCCATGATACGATACATCATTCATTGTTGATGCCAGCACACTTCCAAGTTTTGAAGCCGCTCTGCCCAAATCCATCTGCCCACTCAACTTTTGTTTAAGTGACATTGGAGCAATTCAGGTACTTGGTGGTGGTGGTCATTGCTCTTCATTCATCCCGCTCTGCCTACCTCCCACAAGCCCATCCTTGCCTTTGCTCCCTATTGAGTGCCTGTCGTTTCTCCGTTGGCAAATTTTGTTGTGCCGTATGCAACAGGTTATCTCGTGTTCCATCTTGACTGATTTGCATACAATAGATGAAAATCGGGTCCAGTTTGATGCCTATTAGACTCACCTTCTAGTTGGCTCAACATGGACCAAATGACCTAGCTCGACTAGACATGTTCTCATGCTGATATGTTTGATGAAAATTAGGCTTGCTAACGGGCTGGTCGCTGGCAAAGCGACCTGGCTTGGCCAAGCGTCAGCCCTTGCTCGTATAGGGTTTATGCTCATGCTTGAATCAAGTTGACTTAGTGTCACCATATGTAGGCCCTCTTATTTGACCATCTCTCCGAGGTCATGTAGGCTGTCATACATATTCACTTGGTCAAACTCACAAATGACCGAGGTTATTCATGTTGCTGATGGTGGACGGAATGGACCCACTCAAGGCGTTGCTGTGAAGATTCCTGAAGTTAAAACATGTAAGGGTGTTTAGGGTGGGATTAACTATTGAACCACTATTAACCATGTAGGTTTTGTTTCCTTGATACTCATTGACACATACTATGGGCTGCATATGTTGAGTGTCAATCGGGATCTTGGACTTCCCATTGGGAGGCATCGTGCAATGATGATCGGAAAACGTCTTCTGAAACAAAAACATGCCTTAGATGCCTGAGTTGCCAATAGTCTGAGCACAGCTGACTTGTATAGCAAATGCTCGTAGGAGCTTGACCATTGTTCTTTCTTTAGATGATGAGAAAGTGAGGTCGAGACCTTGGGATCCTGACATTTGATAATTGAAATAACCATGCTCATGAAACTCTTTGTAACGAGGAAACTGAAATTGTAACTCTTGAAGTCAATTGTATTGGTGCATTTTGCTTTCCTGCCTGTCCGCACATCCGGCGATTTTGTGTGCCAATCTGCGTAGATCGACAATTTTGCCCATTAATCTGTGCCAGCGATTTTGCTTGCCAATCTGCGCAGATCGGTGATTTCGCCCGCCACCTGTGTAGTTTGGCGATTTTGCCCGTCATTCCGCTCACATCGGCGACTTTGCCTGCCAATATCGAGTCATGGACAATGATCAAATCGTCCCTCAAGGAAACCCAGGCACCCTTTCTTCTCCCAACAAAATTGGTGAAACAATATTTTAAACCACTTTGCCACCGCTTACCACTCTTCACCGCACAGAATTTACAGAACCCAACCCCCCCACCACTTTCAAATCATGCCCATTGAATAGCTCACCATTTCAATGTGGACCCAACCCAACTCCAGGGCCGGCATTCTGCCTGTCGCAAACACATTTGCCCGCTAGTGCAGGTCGGGTCCGCATCTCTACCCGAGAGGACCCAATACATGCCCTTGCTCCTGATTCCAGGTCGGGTCGACTCCAGCATTAAACATCACTTTTGGGTATCAGGTCGGATCGACCAGGCCGGGGTCTGCATTACAGCAGAGCCGACCCGATCCGGACAATAAACTGGGTCGAGTCGGGTCGACCCGGCGAGGCCAGGGCTGGCTTGAGTGCATCAAGCATTATCATAGCTCTGAACAAAGGCCAGCAAGATCAGGCCAATCTGTTTGAAGCACGGACGAAACTGAACTTCTTGCGCGTCCGGCTTAACTAGCGATTGGTACAATGACTAGTCGTGTCATGGTCGCTTCACGTGGTCTACGGGCGACCCTTGTCTCCTAGCTGTAGTTCCTCTGCTAGGCTAGGCGTAGGACTGACCCATTACAGGTTTGCCCCTGGATTAGCGGCCCAACTTGGCCCAATGTCAGCCCTTGCTCTTGGCTAGCGTGTATGCTCATTCTCAAATTAGATTCACAAAGTGTTGCCATACGTAGGCCCTCTTTAGTAACTCCCTCAGCTGATATAGGCTCCTTCCTCTAATTCGTTGTTGATACTCACAAATCATAGAGGTTGCTCATGTTGCTGATGGTGGATGGAATAGATCCACTCAGACTGTTGTTGTAAAGAACCCTGACGTTAGAATATGCAGGAGTTTTTACGGGTGGAATAAGATGAACGAATGCAGCAAGAAAACAAAACCACTATTCACAATCGCTGACATGTAATTAGGTTTGAGTTCACTGAGAAAGGTTTCCAAGAGAGCATACTGTGCTGAAATGTGATTGTGATGCAAGCAACCCATTGTTTTAGGTACCTCATTGTCAGTACAACACAAACAAGGTCCTACACTTAGCATCGATATTGTAACACTATATCGCAATTAATATTCATTTACAAGAGGCACGATTCTGGTTCTTGAGCGCACATGCAAATAAACATATTACATGCATATGAAAGCAGCAAGGGAAGGTACAACGTGAACAACGTTATTGACGGATTAACAATAAGCAGATCAGCTGTCGATGCACAGCTTTGCATAGTCTGTTCCATAGATAATGTCTACGTTGTCCAAATGCCAAGCCAGATCTAAGAAAATCCTGTTTGTAGCTGTGCTGACAATTGCTACATACCTACCGCCTCTGTCTGGCCCTCAGTCTACCCCCTCGTCTAGTTCCTTTTTCTCCCCTGACAAGTTTCCTAGTAGAACACGTCTCCCCAGTCATTATCGCTTCAAAGATGCAGAAGATGCACTGAACAAATACATGCTTGATGGATTTTTGTGATCTGGCAAATCTTGTTGGACACATATGACCCTTGGGGTGACACAGTTTGAGCCTGTTTTTTTTAACCCACCTTCTCTTAAAGCATCGGCGCATGTTTGAGAGAACAATTCAACACAAACCAGCAACCCTTCTCCACAGGGTGAAATCAAGTGGATATTGTTAACTCTAAGTACTATGCGGAAGCGTTCAAAACTGAACCACGACCTCAAACTTGGCAACACTTAACTTCACTTTATACCCTCCGAGTGTGACAGCATGTCACCTCATAGCCAAGGGCGTAAGAAAAATAAAGTGAGTGGTTATGCGTTGCTTGAATTGTGGAGTGAGTAATCTGGTCGAGCAGCGTTTCGGCAGCGCCACGTTACGTTTCTACTCTCGTCAATACGTAGTAGTAGAATTCCAGGCTTTGAAAAGCGTAATTGCATTGATTGACTTGAAGCAAATACAAGCACACATTTATATAAAGTCCTAAACACACAAAGGAAAATATAGAGCAGTTGCTTAACTGGAATCCAGGGCCTCGCCTTGCTGTATTAGAAAACAGTTGTGAAACTGCTGAAGAATTTGGCTCAATCTACCTCATTATAATTAACTGTAATCCACTTGAATTGAAACCAAACTCCCCTGCTGATTCACGTCATGAACTTCCGCGAGTTCTCATGAGGAATCATGGATACTCGTGTGGGAAACCGTTTTCTAGTTTTAAAACGGATTTTACCATTGGTAAAACGGTATTTACCGTTTTGTACCTGCGTCGAAATGATCACGCTAAGCAGCGTGACTTTCGCGCGAAGCCTGCTGTTTCCAAGTCAGCGCGGGATACGGTTGGTCAACCGTAATCCCATGGCACCCCCAGTCAAGCGAGAAAAGCCGATCGCTGACGCGATCGTGCTTTGTCCCACGCGAGGCAGGGCAATAATTGCCCTGTCTTGTTGCGATCGTGCAACTGTGCACGGTCGCAACAGTTGCGACACACGCGTGGGCCTTGTGGGGCCACACGCGCATGTCAGGACCCCACGCGCGGGTCCTGACTTTCGCGCACTTTTTGACCAGCGCGAAATTGGTCAAAGGGTCCGAGTCAAAGACTCGAGCCCAGCACCCCCCCGACACACTCGAAATTCACCACGAGTGCTCATGAAAACTCGTGAGCTTTCATGAGCTTTCATGACGCTCGTAACTATCATGAACGCGCACGGTAGTTCATGAAAATTGACGAGCGAACATGAGTCGTCATGAGAATTCATGACTCGTCATGATCCGTCATGACTTGTCATGTGCCCACAACAAAAGCAACAGAATGCAAAAACGGATGCGTACAGAACACACACAAAATGCGGGACTTCATGCAGGCGGCTGGTTGACGTGCAAAAATATTATTTGCACCCAACAAACTCCCCCTCAAGCAGTCGCCTGCTTGCATCTTCTTGCATGAGCCTAGTTAAGGCTCATACCGCACAGCTTAGCACAGCGCCAGTGAGGTTCTTCAGCCAGCCGCTTCGTGAGAAAATCTGCCGGCTGCTGCTGTGTTTTCACATAGAGAGGCTGAATGGATCCCCTCTGCACTTCCTTGCGCAGCCAATGCCATTTGATCTGCATGTGCTTGGTGAGCCCATGCAGCACCGCGTTCTTGGACATTGCAATAGCACTGGAGTTGTCACAAAACAGCGGTGTAGCCGTTTTCTACTCGTGCCCTATTTCCTCCAGCAGCTTCCTCAGCCAAATCAGCTCCTTGGCTGCATGATACATTGACATGTACTCGGCTTCAGCAGAAGAACCCGCCGTTTCCACCTGTTTCTTTGACCTCCAACTCACGGGCCCACCACCAATCACGCACACATATCCTCCCACTGACGACATGTCCTCCTTTTCCGATGCCCAAGTTGCATCAGCATACCCCGTGAGAAACAGCTCCCTGTCCCCAAGAAGCTCCCCCTTCTCCTTGAGAACCTCTGCTCCTTTCTGCTTCTTTTGAGCCACGGCCGAGTATTGAACTCCAACAGTGGGATAGGAGTTCAAATACTTGATGATGCGCTCAGCTGCATCCACTTGCTCCTTGGTGGGATTTTGTACCACCCTAGCCAGCTGCCCCACAGCAAAAGAGACATCCGGCCTCGTGTGTACGGCTGCATAGAGCAAACTCCCCACCATTGACTGAAAACGAGCCTGCTCCCGCTGATCCACCCCTTCATTCTCACCAGCCTTGACGAGTTTGAACTTGAATGGAAGTGGTGTGGCAGTCTTCCTTCCGACCTCAACCTCGTACTTGCTCCCCATGTCGTTGATATACTTCTCCTGGTGCAGCTTCACCCATCCATTGCTGACATCCCTCTCAATGTGCATCCCAAGGTAGTAATTCGCCTCCCCCAGGGTCTTGCACTTGAAATTTTGCATCAGCTTCTGCTGCACCTTTATCACCTCTTACTTGCTGCTCCGGAACAAGAGGATGTCGTCCACGTACACCAGGAACATGACGAGGCTCTCCTTCTCCCCCATGAGGAAAAGACCCTCGTCACATGCACTCGCCCTGAAGCCTATCTCCTCTAGAACTGAAGAGAGCTTCTTGTACCAGCAACGTGGTGCTTGTTTGAGGCCATAAATGGCCTTCTTCAGCTTGCACACACGTCCGGTACCGTCCTCATAACCCGGCGGCTGCGACATGAACACCTCCACATCTATCAGCCCATAGAGGAAGGCTGTGGTGATATCCATCTGAACTATCACCCACCCACACACAGCTGCACCGGCGAGGAGAACACAGATCGTTGGCGTCTTTGCAGTTGCCGCAAACGTTTTCTTGAAGTCTTCCCTTTCTTTTTGTTGATAACCCCTAGCAACTAGCCTACTCTTGTAAACTGACACGGCTCCTTTGTTGTCAGTTTTAATCCTAGGAATCCAGCCACAATTTATGGCTTTCTTCCCCTCCGGCAGTGGCACCAGCTCCCATGTCCCATTTTCCATTTGACTGTTGTATTCCGCATCCATTGACGCCACCGACTTGTCCCTATCTGGTCCTTTGAGCGCTTCTTCTATGGTGAGCGGTTGAGTCGGTGCAGGTGCCATGAAGCAATAGATTTCCTCCTCCTCTTCCTCGTCAGAGTCACAGCTACTTTGCAGCACCAGGAATGCGTCGTTTTGCTGCTGCTCTCCCCTTGCTCCTCTGTAATTCTTCAGCTTCAATGCGGCTGCTCGCATCTGACTTGCGATCATGGGTGAAAGAGCACGGCCTGTGGGAGGGGATTTGGTTTGGGTCCTTCTTGGGGGAAGAGTGGGGGGAATCACACGTGTTATGGGGTGAGGTTCTTCAGGTACAGCCTTTGGCTCCACGTCTTTGACCACGGGAAGCTCGGCTGCACCCTCCTCTTCAGGTGCCGCTGCACCTTCCTCTTCTACCCACTCCTCCGCATCAAACCCCATCGTTGCTTGCTCCAGCTGCTGCATGAGTTTCTCGTTCGGCTGCTTGGACCAGCTCCCGTAGGTGATATCCTCCATGAATTTGGCTGCTGTCAAACACCACTCCTTTGCTCGGCTCCCACAGCAGCCACCCCTTGCTTTCCGCTGCCAACCCCAAGTGCACACACCAAACGGCTGTTGCACCCAACTTACTACGGTGTGCCTTGCGGATGTGAGCCATTGCCATGCAACCAAACACACGCAGCATGTCAATGGGCGGCTTCCTCCCAAGCCACCTCTCCATGGGGACCCATGACTCACCACCAACGTTGGTGAACACCCGGTTCTTCACCACCGTGGCGTGGCGCACAGCATGTGGCCACTTGGAGTTCCCTAACCCCGACTCAATGAGGAGTGCACGTGCTGTCTCCAAGACCGTGCGATTGGCCCTTTCAGCTACGCCGTTGGACTGCGGTGTGTATGAGGTGGTGAGCTCGCGGATGATGCCCTGCTTCTTCAGCCATGCAGTCAGCTCCTCCCCAAGGAACTCCCCACCCCGGTCAGTCCTAATCCGCATCACCTTGTGCCCGGACTGCTTCTCCACCAACGGCAGCCAATCGTCACGGATGATGGACGGCACGTAGTCCTTCTTCTTGATTGGATAAGCCCAAGTCACTCGGCTCCAATCATCAACAATTGTGAGAAAATACTTCTCACCCCGTTCCCCTATAACCGGCAGCGGCCCCACCACATCCATGTGCACGAGCTCTAAGAGCTTCTTGCCGCCACCCTCGGTTGCATGAAAGGGGAAGCGTGTAAACTTGCTTAGCATGCAAGTTTCACATTTGTGGGAGACTGCTGCACCAATCAACTTCAGCCCCTTAACCCCTTCCCCCTTTTGCAGTTGCTGCAGTGCGGGCATAGCTATGTGCCCGAGGCGACGGTGGGCTGTCATCCAGTCCGTTTCACCGCTCCTCGCTGAAACCTTCAGCTCCTCTGCACGTACAGCATTGCACTCCCCCTCGGGTCCACCCTCCTTGCCCCATAACACCACCGGCAGCTGCCACATTGACTTGCAAATGTCGCGGTCCTCGTGAAGGTCCCACAACATCCGCTATCCCAGCTGCCCCGTGAATGTCTTGGCACCATCGGTGGAAGTGTTGACCTCACATTTGCCCAACTTCCCGAAGGAGATTAGATTCGCCTTGAGGTCAGGGACGAGCAGCACATCGCTCAGCACCACCGGCCTGCCATCGGCACCCTTAAATGCAGCACGTCCCGCCCCCGTCACCTTGAGAGCGTGCCCGGATGCCGACTTCACCTTAGCAATTGGTGCGGTCCCCACCTTGTCAAGGAGATCGGCCCTTGGAGTCATAGTCCATGCCGCCCCCGTATCCAATATCCACGTGTTGAGCGGGTGCAGTGAAGCTCTAGCATGGGCGATCACCGCTCCCTCTTCCGGCTCCCCAACGTGGAAGAACTGACCGGCTTCACGTTGCTCATTTTCAGCCAGTTCTTCATCGGCTACCGCTCCGGCGCCGCTCCCATCCTTGGTCCTGTTGGAGGGGGTCCACCATGAAGGTTTAGAACGACACTTAAACCAAGGGTGGGCCACCTTCTCACAATACCAGCACTTGCCCTCCATTTTTCCGCCTCCCCTTCCTCCCCCTTTGCCACCACGGCCTCCACCACGTCCCGTTCCCTTGCCACCTTGCTGACTTGAGGGCTCCTCATCCTTAGTAGCCCCCCTCCCCGCCCCTTGCCATTTCTTGCCTTTACCCCTTATTCCACCTTGCATAGCGTAGCTGCTGCTCCCCTCTTCACTTCCCCTCATTGGCGCCTCCGGAAGTCCTCCTCAAGTATCTTGGTGCGGATCCACTCCAACGTCCAAAGGCTCTGGTTTTGGGGAAGGCTTAGGCCGCTCGTGAAGATCATCCAAGACTCCGGCAGCAGGGACAGCATCTTTACACATTTGGTTTGCTCGGGGTAGATTATTCCGGCGATGGCAAGCTTGGCGTAGAGTTCTCTCAGCTTGTCTAGGATCGGCTGAAGGGGTTCTCCTTCACTGAGGCGAAGAGTGGAGAGCTTTCTCTCTAGCATGAGAGTAGCTACAACTGATGTGGGGGCGTGAAGGTCCTGGAGCACGGCCCATGTCTTGGGACCGCACTCTTCATCCGGGAGGAGGTGGGTGATGTGCTGGCGTTGGGCGAGATCTAGGCTCTGAGACAATATGTAGTACCCGGCGGATGAACGTTCGTCCCACTCGTTCTGAAGCTCCGGGGCACTAGGTCGTTTCTCGCTGCCTATCATGAGCTTTAAAAGACCTATCTGCCGAAAATACAGCTGCATCTTCCAAGACCAATCGTCATAGCCCTCTCCACTAAACTTGTCGACGGAGAACTTCTTCAACACCTCTCTTAGCAGCGGGCCCTGGCTCGTCCGGGCTATCCTAGGCGCGGAGACACCAGATTCTTGGCTACCACTACTCGCGGGGGCTGAATTCCCTTCTTCTCCAGTCGACCCCATCGATTGATACGTTGAGAATGGCTAAGGACCAGCTCTGATGCCACGTGTTAACTCTAAGTACTATGCGGAAGCGTTCAAAACTGAACCACAACCTCAAACTTGGCAACACTTAACTTCACTTTATACCCTCCGAGTGTGACAGCATGTCACCTCATAGCCAAGGGCGTAAGAAAAATAAAGTGAGTGCTTATGCCTTGCTTGAATTGTGGAGTGAGTAATCTGGTCGAGCAGCGTTTCGGCAGCACCACGTTACGTTTCTACTCTCGTCAATACGTAGTAGTAGAATTCCAGGCTTTGAAAAGCGTAATTGCATTGATTGACTTGAAGCAAATACACGCACACATTTATATAAAGTCCTAAACACACAAAGGAAAATATAGAGCAGTTGCTTAACTGGAATCCAGGGCCTCGCCTTGCTGTATTAGAAAACAGTTGTGAAACTGCTGAAGAATTTGGCTCAATCTGCCTCATTATAATTAACTGTAATCCACTTGAATTGAAACCAAACTCCCCTGCTGATTCACGTCATGAACTTCCGCGAGTTCTCTTGAGGAATCATGGATACTCGTGTGGGAAACCGTTTTCTAGTTTTAAAACGGATTTTACCGTTGGTAAAACGGTATTTACCGTTTTGTACCTGCGTCGAAATGATCACGCTAAGCAGCGTGACTTTCGCGCGAAGCCTGCTGTTTCCAAGTCAGCGCGGGATACGGTTGGTCAACCGTAATCCCTTGGCACCCCCAGTCAAGCGAGAAAAGCCGATCGCTGACGCGATCGTGCTTTGTCCCACGCGAGGCAGGGCAATAATTGCCCTGTCTTGTTGCGATCGTGCAACTGTGCACGGTCGCAACAGTTGCGACACACGCGTGGGCCTTGTGGGGCCACACGCGCATGTCAGGACCCCACGCGCGGGTCCTGACTTTCGCGCACTTTTTGACCAGCGCGAAATTGGTCAAAGGGTCCGAGTCAAAGACTTGAGCCCAGCACCCCCCCGACACACTCGAAATTCACCACGAGTGCTCATGAAAACTCGTGAGCTTTCATGAGCTTTCATGACGCTCGTAACTATCATGAACGCGCACGGTAGTTCATGAAAATTGACGAGCGAACATGAGTCGTCATGAGAATTCATGACTCGTCATGATCCGTCATGACTTGTCATGTGCCCACAACAAAAACACATGAAACAGAATGCAAAAACGGATGCGTACAGAACACACACAAAATGCGGGACTTCATGCAGGCGGCTGGTTGACGTGCAAAAATATTGTTTGCACCCAACAGATATGAGCCAAAATCTGGCGGGCTCGTTGAACTTGGACCGAGGACAAACCAATTTTCAGCTCTTTGACAATCCCCAGGGGGCGTGTAAATAAGGCGCGTCAGTTTTGCTTTTGTAAAAGAGATGCAACCTACACGCTGGCTCATGAGTCTATATCATAATTCTGATATCATCCGACCTTCAGTATACTTGTTCGTTCCTACCCAAAGGACAGAAGCACTAGCTTGCCAGATATGGAATTTGAGTGTTTGATCTTTGCGGATCTGGTGTGAATCTTGCATTTCGTGTTTTGCTGATGCCTAGCGTGTTTTTTACACTCAAACCAAAAACTTGCTTGGGCTGTAGCTGGGGGAAAGGAATCAGAGCCCACCAAGCCCAAGGCGGAAGCTCAATTAACTGTCTTATTGATACTGACAGGTAAACAAGTTTGCTCATGTTGCCGATAGTGGATGGAATAGAACCAATCAGATTATTGCTGCATAGAACCCTGATGGTACATACACACAAAGGGTTACATCCAAGGGAGATCAAGATAGAGTAAGTAATTTGAGGGGGAGAGGAGTAGAAACGGAGTATGAAAAGAAAAGGCCATGATGATCCAAGATAGAATTAGGCACGTGATACAAATGTTGGCACAAACAGGATAACTATCCATATGCATGCGGATTTGGCAAGCAATGTTCTTTGTCATGTATTTGGAGGGGAGGGCCAAACTTCACACAGTTTAGTAGGAACCCCCTGCTTATCACCATCCGAAGGACCTCCCTTGTTGTGAAACCAACCCCTTACCGCTGATGGGCCTTGATGGCTCTGGCAGGCTGGGCCGGCTCTCCTTGCTCATGCCAAGTGTGAGCTTTTATACTCAGAAACCAGATTTGGCTGTAGTTGAGGGATTGAGTCAGAGCCCTCCAAGTCAAAGACGGAAGCTCAATCAAACTGTCTTGATACTGACAGGTCCACAAGGCTGCTCATGTTGCCAATAGTGGATGGAATAGACCCAGTCAAACCGTTGTTGTTTAGAGCCCTGATGGTACATACACACGAAGGCTTACATCCAAGGGAGATAAAGATAGTGAAAGAAGTTACCTAAGGGGGGGGGGAGGGGGGGAGAGGAGTAGAAACGAAGTTCTAAGAAACCATAATGTGCCAAGCGACGAACATATAAACAGGACATGGGTTTAGGCAATTCCATGCCAAACCCACGTTTTTTTATGGGTCGACAAATGTCCACCTTTCCATTTCAAATCTATTAGTTGAGATTCTGCTATGTTAATACCTAACCCTCCAACTCTACTGAATTACCGTCTTAAAAGCCAAACATAAAAAAAAAAGGAGATACAATGCATCGCATGCAAATTTTTTGGTTGGAAAAGATTTCTAGAACGCATTGTTTTATAAACAAATAACTACACTATTCTGATTGGGTATAATGATCTGACCGGGCCTCAAGTAAACCCGACCCGACTTCGGGTCACAGACTACCCAACGTCTAAGGACCGGGTTGATTGATGTGCCAGCCTACGGACCATTAGCCCGGGTCGGCCCCTGGATGGCCCATGGGTCAGCAGACTGGCTTGGCCCAGCATCATCCCTTGCTCATGCATAACATGTATGCTCATTCTCAAATCATGTCGAGAGGAGATGCTGAGAGGAGGCAGGGTAGAGAATGAGTCCATTTCATGATGGACAAACATGACTTGGTTTTGCATGATAAAGTGCATGGTGTGGTTCAAACCATGATGAATAAGATCGACAGGGATCATTGTGGGCCCTTATTTTTTGCTAGCCCGAGATGCACCCTTGATGAACCCGTGATAATTGATTGATAAACCCTTGGTGAACAAGTGATGAACCCTTGATGAATTCGAGATGAAGCCTTGATAAACCCTTGATGAACCCGTGATGAACCCTTGATGAACCCGTGCTGAACCTTTGATAAACCCTTGATGAATCCGTGATGACCGTTGATGAACCCGTGCTGAAGCGGCCCGAACCAGACCTGGTCGAGCTGAGCTGGCTCATATCGCACTTAATCAGTTGCGGCTCGTGTTCATGAATCCTCTTGCCACCCAGCTCTGGGGTCAGCCCCTGCACTACTAAGTGGGCCTGGGCGGCTCGACTCAGGCTGGCACAGTGCATGCCTTTGAACATGCCTGGCGTGCATGCTGAACAGATTTTACTGGGTGTCACTTCGCATAGGCCTTTCCAACATCAATCAGGACCTTCCTGTTGAAAGGGACACCTTACAATGTATCCAGGTTGGTGAGTCTGCCAAGTGACTCAGGAGTGCTGCCACTCAGGTTGTTGAACTGCAAATACCTGACGTATAGGTCAGAATGAAAAGCATGCAGGCATGGGAATGCCATGTGAAAGACGCCAGCTAGGCCATCAGACAGTACCAGTAAACAAAGCCCAGGTATGAACACAAAACAAAACGAAAAAAATGGGGAGATAAGTAAAAAGCGGAACCTTACAGGTACACCAAGTTTGTGAGGTTACCAAGAGATTCTGGGATCGCTCCAAACAGAGAATTTTGAGCCAGGTCCCTGCACAATATCGGTAAAGGTGAATACACACAGATAGCGCTACTTCCCTAGAAATTTGAAATCATTCGGTTAGTGAAATCTAATAGTATAATGTGAGTCCATACGGGTCCTTGAAACTTATCTAGCTACATACAAACGTGTCAAGCTCCTCAAGCTTCCAACAGTAGATGGAATTGATCCCCTTAGGCTATTGCCAAGTAAAACCCTGACACGGATAGTATGGGATAATGATAGTAACGTGTGAAAGCAGAAGGAACAATGGGAAACGGGCTGATATAAAAAAGCAATAAAGACAATCGAACAAGTACTGTACAGCACCATAAAACACACTTATTTTTTGTACATTACAATAAGATGGGGGTCCGCAACCAAGCAGAATCGAATTGAACAAAGTTTCTGTTCTGCTTTTTACGTTGTCGCTTCATTTTACCAAGATAGTACCTGAAAGCCCTGCATGCAATCCCACGAGGGATCTTATGTGTAAATCCTACAGTTCTAATGCCCATAATTATCTGTGCATGCTCCCACCAATACCAGATCCCCACAACTCACATATGGCTCAGACTTCCCATGGCGCTGATGAAAATTTCGGACTAATCTGGTGCACGCTTATGCCGGTCACCATGCCTTGTGAATCCAGGTTCTCCCTTTAGAAAATCCACGAGAGATTTGCTGGTCACTCACATGCTGGTCACCATGCCTTGGGGATCGCACGAGACATCCTTGGCAGAGCTGCAGTTCCCACCAGCCGTCCATCCAGAGAAAATTTGCCCAAATGCCTGCTGGAAGTCCAGCAGGGCTTGCACTGGAGGCAGAGGGTGTGGGAGGAGAGGGAAGCACGGGGGCAGGCAGGGTAGGATAGAAGGTTGGGGTGGTGCAGGGAACTAAGGAACAATGGATCGGCTCTCATCATCTGTGTGTCAGAAGTTTTATTGTTCGAGAACTTTGGTCACCAAAAAAATCAAAGCAAGCAAGAAAAGGCTAAATATTGTGTATGTAACTTGATTACTCCTCCTTCTCACTCTTTCCATCAGCGTGGTCCCATGGGCTGTTGTTTCCTTTGGTTTGAACTATACGTGTGCATTGGAACGAGCCGAACAAAACCCGCCTCGTCACAGGTCAAGTCAAGCTCGTGCGAGCGAGCTTTTTAACGAGCCGAGTTCTGCTCGGACGAGCTTTTACAACTAAGAACCGTACTCGTCACTCGTCATGTTTGACAGGGTTTTTTTAGCTCGGCCTAGCATTTGAAAATGCTCGGCCGAGCACAAGGAAAGCTCGGTTCATAGCCTTATACCAGCAGAATATACCAGGTCTTATTGTGATAATAAGAACAGACATTGACAAACATGAAAATAACTTAGACACAGCATGAGGGAGATGCTGACGAGTGCAGAAAGCTCGTGCGATTGTGAAAAAAGGCTCGTAGAAGTGACGAGCGCCCGGCGAGCTTTTAAAACTTGCCGAGAAAACTCGGCTCGTCTTGGACGAGTTTTCTACGCCAAAACCCACACTCATCACTCGTCCTTGAACGAGTCCACCGTACGAGCCAAGCCGAGAAGCTCGCCTCATTGCACATGTACACTTTAAACAGACCCATGAGGAAGTACGAACTCGGGACCAAACTCATCACCATATAAAACGGTTGTTTCTTTAAAAGCCCTGTCTCATGTTTATGTGTTCCCAACGAAGTGTGAAACGCTTGAAATCCGGTAACCCTGGGTTTGTCGCCAAAGTGAACCAAAGATGGGCCAGGTTGGTTCGGGTTGGTTGGAAATTACCCAAACTTGGCATCACAACGCACAAACCCAGAGGGGGATGAAAGAGCCTAGCGGGGAGGGAATAAAGGGCGTAGCAGGTGAAAAGAAAGAGGATGAAAGGGAAGGGTGAAAGGGCCTAGCCGGGGGGGGATGGAAGGTCCTAGCAGGGCGGGGGGCAGGGCGGGCGGGCCGGGGAAGGGGGGGGGGAGGTGGGGTGGGAGGAAGGGCCTGGCAGGGGGAAATGAAAGGGCCTAGCAGGTGAAAGCGAATGGGCGATGAGCCTTGCAGAGGGGGGATGAAAGGGCGAAGCAGGTGACAATAATAAGGGCATAGCAGCGGGGCATAAAAGGGCAGGGCCTAGCAGGGAGGGATGAAAGGGTCCAGCAGGGGGGGATGAAAAGGCGTAGCAGGGGGGAATGAAAGGGCCTAGCTGGGGGGAATGAAAGGGCCTAGCTGGGGGGAATGAAAGGGCCTAGCTGGGGGGAATGAAAGGGCCTAGCTGGGGGGAATGAAAGGGCCTAGCTGGGGGGAATGAAAGGGCCTAGCTGGGGGGAATGAAAGGGCCTCGCTGGGGGGAATGAAAGGGCCTAGCTGTTGGGAATGAAAGGGCCTAGCTCGGGGAAATGAAAGGGCTAGCTGGTGGAAATGAAACGGGCTAGCAGGAGGAAATCAAAGGGCCCAGCAGCGGGGGATGAAAGTAACTAGCAGAGGGGGCTGAAAAGGCCTAGCAGGAGGGGCTGAAAGGGCCTAGCAGGTAAAAATGAATAGGGCATAGCGGGGGATACAGGGCCTAGTATGGGGGAATGAAAGGGCCCAGCAGGTGGGAATGAAAGGGCCTGCGGGGGGGGATGAAAGGGCATAACATGGGGAAAAGAAAGGGAATTGAATTCGGTAACTGACACCGGTATCGAAACCCTCTTGTGACCATCAGCACCGAACACGGTTCGGTTGCGGTGGACATTCTAGGCTACGGCAAATGTCTTATCGACAATTGCCGATCCCTCGTCTCTCTTCATTCCGTTTCTTCCCGCTTTCTTCGCCTTCCTTCCTTAGCTCCTTAGCATGCAGCCCCACCGTTCTAGCTGTAGGTTCCCCACCTTAGGATGCCTTTTCGCACCGTTCCTAGCATTGCGCTACCCTCCCTAGGTCAAGCGCTTAGGTCGGTGGTCACTAGGGCAGAGGCAAACCACCCCAACACAATCTTGCCAAACCTGTCCAAATAGGTTCGGATGTGATCCAACCCCGCCTGAGGTATTGTGTTGGCGGTGTTGGCCTTGAGAATAGGGTTTCGCCCATAGGTTTTCCAACCCAATGTAAAACGCTTGAAAATATGAGACGGCATCTATAAACGAACAAAAAACGCCTCTGGGGGCCGATGTTGGCAGTTACAAACTTGAGATTGGCGGATATTAGGGTTTGGCAAGCATGCGTCACATATGATAGCGTCGCCATCTTGTTGTTAGTGTGTTATTCAACATTAGATTTGCTCCTAGTTCTGCATTCGCTGTTGTGAACTGGCAGAGGATTATAAGCCCCGCGTTCGTGGTGTGCGAGTTTCCGTAATCCTCTGGGATGCGGCAGCCTGAAACCCTTGGAGCCGCTGTGTTACGCTGGTAGTACTTCTGGGTGTCTGTTAATTTCAGATTTTCAGAGAAACTCGCAGGAAAGACGCGCAGATCGGAGGTGAGGGGGGGCGGCCTACGAGGCCAATCATTTCCCTCGACAAGGACAAACCTTGGGAGGCGGCAAAGGGGACACAGTGGACTGGAGAAACCACGACGAGACACGTTAGAATGGTAAGTGAGCCGAGCCGAATGATGCATCCCCATCGCGGAAAGGGACATCCGTCCGTTGCCATCGCGGTGCGGAGCTTCCACATCGCGGAAAGGGAAATTGCGTTTTTGGCAGATTTCGAATAGTATAGTCTTTATCGCTGTGTGTTTAGCGCCGAGTACACCGATTAAGGTACAGTAGAAACGCGTGATATATGTACACTGTTAAGCCAAAAAGCTCCTGTTACCGCGCGAGTGCAGACGACAAAAATGAAGAAACGACTATCAATGGGAAGAACGCTAGGAAATGAAACTAGAGGGAGAAATATAGTGGGAGGTTGGCGAGGGTGGGAATGAAGGGAGACCCAGTTTCTTGGTGGATTGTTATGCGATTCTGCGTGGCTGCGACAGGCCAACATTCCTGACGAAGTCGCATCCGTAAATTAGCGACCTCCCATGAAACGCTGGAACATTTCTTAGGGCGTGTCACCTCGGGCGGTAACCAGCCGTTCGAATTCCAAAATTCTGGGAGTTGGCGCTGGTATAATACGGTTTAAAAATCAAGCGGTTAAGTTAAGTACGGTGCTTGTTCGAACAAGCCACTTTGAACGTTCGAGGTGACACGCCCTTACATGCGCAATTCCTCAAACCAGAAACGGTTCTTGTATGCAGCTGAAATGACACAAGAATGAACTTGCCTGCTTGCTTGGTATTCCTTGTGACACACGCCTTGCAAGTGCGGTGCGGCAGTCCTAGTGTAGCCCCTAGTGGAAATCACTATTCTCAACCCCAAACCCCCTTGGCATGGCTTGCGACTAGGTGTGCGACTTCGAATGGCGTCTGAACAACCCAGTCATACGACATGTGAGACGTAACGCAATTCGCATCATGACCAAGCCGTTTGTTTGCGAACCCTATGTGCGGTGCTTCGCTTGCTTTGCTTGCACACAACACCTCGCGAAGAAAATCGCTGTCGCGTGGTCCATTTTGTAACTCCTTTTTCCGTGTGAAGAGCACTCATTTTGGTGTCAAAAGAAACTCACATGGTTCCAGCATAGATCCGTCTGAGGCATTGTCACCCGATCCGTACCCTCCTTTACTGTACGACGAAACAACGTGACCCGCCCTCACAACCTGACACGAGTGGCGCACAGGGATGACACCAGGAAGTAACTCGGGTTCAGAACATTCGGCTAGGATTTCGCGCCACTGGTCTTTCGCACAGTTGTTTCGGGCGACAGGCAAACGGATCGCGCTCGCTTACTAGATCGACTTGCCGTTATGCACTGCGGCCGCTTGCATAGTGCTGCGCCGCCGCTACTCTGAGTTGCGATCTCGATGACGTGGCAGTGCCACGTGTGCGCGTCGCCATGCGACGGCCGTATTCGTTGCGGCGAGTGCGGCGTCGTCATTTACTGTAGCAGGCGACACCAGGTGCGTGCCGTAGCACCCAGGCCCGCGCAGCGCGAGATGTCATGCGCGCGGCTCATGTCCGCCACCAGCCGCCCGATGACCCGCCATCCAATTTTACAGTTCGCCCCGAGCCGTTCGTTCACTGGCTTGCGCTCCAAGGCCCTCTTCGCGCACAGCTCATGCGCGCAACTCATGCTCATGCGCGCAGCTCATGCTCATTCGCGCAGCTCATGCTCATGCGCGCAGCTCATGCGCGCTACCAGCCGCCCGTTCGCCCCAAGCCCGTGCTGAGCGCCAAAGGCCCTCGTCGCGCACGTGGCTTCCCACACCACAGCGCTGCCGCGAGGCCCTGATAGGGTTCTCCTCTCCCTTCTCCCTGCCCCTCTCTCCTTTTCCCTGCCCCTCTCCTCCCCTTCCTCCTTCCCCCGCTTCTCTCCCCCTCTCCCATACGGTCCTTCCTTTGCCCCATCACCCATGCCCCACGCCTCATTCCCGTTGCCCTATGCCCCATTCCCCGTACCCCGTGACTCTTGGCCCATACCCCATGCCCCATACCCCATGCCCCATACGCCATGCCCCATGCCCCAAACCACGTGCCCCATAATCATGCCCCATACACCATGCCCCATGTCCCATGTCTCATGCCCCACCCCATGCCCCATGCCCCATGTCCGATGCCCCATTCGGCATGTCCCATGCCCGCTCCCCCATCTCACATGTATGCCCCATGCCCCATGCCGCGACCTCCACACCCGATGCCGCACAGGCCATCCCCTCAGGAGGCGCACTGGCAGCAGCACGAGCAGTAGGGGTATGCGCTCGCCTGGTCTATCCCTTTTCCCCAGCCCCATGTCCCTTCCTCCTTCCCTCACGCCCCGTGCTTCCCTTCAGGCGTCCCACTGGCGGCGGCACGAGCAGGGGGGCGAGTGCGCCCGCTTTTCACTGCAGCTGCAGAAAGCACCGGCTGTGCTCGACCTGCCCTTTCCTTTCCTGCACGATTCTGTCATCCAGGTGCTGTTCTGTGATGTGCTGTGCTGTGCTGTGCTGTGCTGTGCTGTGCTGTGCGGTGCGGTGCGGTGCGGCTGGGACGTGCCATCCCCCTTCCTGCACTCTCCACCTTCCCTGCCACCTGCATGTGGGGTGCACTTCATGTGTCTGTCACATCCATATGGGGTGCAGGTGGAGCAGGGCCGGCACACCATGTGCTCCTTCCTCTCCTCCTCCCGCCATGCGAGCCCACCGACCCTACACTGCCGTCTGGTGCCTGCAAGGCGCCCACTCCCTCCCTCTCCCACCCACTCCGCCCTCTGCGAGTGTGTTGCATGGTTGCTGCAGGTGGAGCAGGGCCGGCACACCGTGTGCTCCTTCCTCTCCTCCCGCCACCTGCATGCCTGCGGTCCCTACGCTGCCCTCTGTGGTCCGTAAGGCGCCTTCCCACTCCCCACCCTCTCCCATTCTCTCCCGCCCTCTCCCACTCTCTCACTGTCGGTCCCTGTCTCCTCTCCCCTGCCTTCACATCTCAGCCTCTCTGCTGATATTCTTCCTTTGGCACCTCTATTGCTCTCCAAGCTCATTCTCTCGCCCAAGTCATACTCGCTTCTCAAACCCAACACTTGCTTCCCCTTCTCTCATCTCCCACGCTGCCCTGCCAGGCTGCGCTTCCGCTCCTGAGCTTGTACCCGCCACTGACCAGGGCCAGCTTGCTGCACTCTCGCCCAGCAGCCCATCAGCCCCTTCCGCCGCCCGTGCTGCACCTGCACCCCCAACGTCTCCCTCTCTTTCTTCACGCGTGCACCCCACACTGCCCCCTTCCATCCCGCCTCCCCCCTCCTCCCCGCTCGCCTGGAGCGACTACTACCTCTGGAGGGGCCTTCCCCTCCACTCGCCCGCTGCACTGCTGCTGCACACGGTATGGGCGTGTGTGAGGGTAAGGGTGTGAGGTATGGGTATGGGGTAAGGGTGTGAGGTATGGGTATGGGGTAAGGGTGTGAGGTATGGGTATGGGGTAAGGGTGTGAGGTAACCTTGGCTTTGTTTTGCTTGAAAGGAAGTTATTCCCTCTTTTCCTTTTGTTGAACGGCGATGGATGGTGAAGTTGTTCCCCACACCTGTGGAGACTTCACCATCCCCATTCAACAACGAGGCACTCATTCACCATCCCCATTCAACAACGAGGCACTCATTCACCATCCCCATTCAACAACGAGGCACTCATTCACCATCCCCATTCAACAACGAGGCACTCATTCACCATCCCCATTCAACAACGAGGCACTCATTCACCATCCCCATTCAACAACGAGGCACTCATTCACCATCCCCATTCAACAACGAGGCACTCATTCACCATCCCCATTCAACAACGAGGCACTCATTCACCATCCCCATTCAACAACGAGGCACTCATTCACCATCCCCATTCAACAACGAGGCACTCATTCACCATCCCCATTCAACAACGAGGCACTCATTCACCATCCCCATTCAACAACGAGGCACTCATTCACCATCCCCATTCAACAACGAGGCACTCATTCACCATCCCCATTCAACAACGAGGCACTCATTCACCATCCCCATTCAACAACGAGGCACTCATTCACCATCCCCATTCAACAACGAGGCACTCATTCACCATCCCCATTCAACAACGAGGCACTCATTCACCATCCCCATTCAACAACGAGGCACTCATTCACCATCCCCACCGCACCACACTCCCCACCCCACCGCACTCCCCATCTCACCACACTACCCACCCACAATTCCCCCGCTAACCCACTCCCCCACCCACCAGCGACTCGTCATCCCCCTCGCCCTCCCCCTGCTCCTCCACCCGTTGCGATTCAACTCAAAAGTCACCCTCTCACCCATCTACCCCCTTTCCCCCCCCAAACACCCCACCGCTGCTCACCATCCTCCTCGCCCTCCACCTGCTCCTCCAGCCCGCCCCACCCCCTCCTCCTGCCCTCCCTGCCACCACTCTTGCCCCGGACCCGGACCACACGCCCTCTCACACTGCAGCTGGGAGGGAGCGGAGGGAGGGGCGTGAGGTACGGGTGTGAGGTACGGGTGTGAGGTATGGTGTGGTCTGGTGTGTGAGGAAATCGTTCCTTGTGTTCAAGGGCGATGGTGACAACGATGCATGCATTCACCATCCCACCACACTCCTCATCCCACCACACTCCTATCCCACCACACTCCTCATCCCACCACACTCCTCATCCCACCCCACTCCTCATCCCACCACACTCCTCATCCCACCACACTCCTCATCCCACCACACTCCTCATCCCACCACACTCCTCATCCCACCACACTCCTCATCCCACCACACTCCTCATCCCACCACACTCCTCATCCCACCACACTCCTCGTCTCACCACACTCCTCATCCCACCACACTCCTCATCCCACCACACCCCTCATCCCACCACACCCCTCATCCCACCACACCCCTCATCCCACCACACCCCTCATCCCACCACACCCCTCATCCCACCACACTCCTCATCCCACCACACTCCTCATCCCACCACACTCCTCATCCCACCACACTCCTCATCCCACCACACTCCTCATCCCACCACACTCCTCATCCCACCACACTCCTCATCCCACCACACTCCTCATCCCACCACACTCCTCATCCCACCACACTCCTCATCCCACCACACCCCTCATCCCACCACACCCCTCATCCCACCACACTCCTCATCCCACCACACTCCTCATCCCACCACACTCCTCATCCCACCACACTCCTCATCCCACCACACTCCTCATCCCACCACACTCCTCATCCCACCACACTCCTCATCCCACCACACTCCTCATCCCACCACACTCCTATCCCACCACACTCCTCATCCCACCACACTCCTCATCCCACCACACTCCTCATCCCACCACACTCCTCATCCCACCACACTCCTCATCCCACCACACTCCTCATCCCACCACACTCCTCATCCCACCACACTCCTCATCCCACCACACTCCTCATCCCACCACACTCCTCGTCTCACCACACTCCTCATCCCACCACACCCCTCATCCCACCACACCCCTCATCCCACCACACCCCTCATCCCACCACACTCCTCATCCCACCACACTCCTCATCCCACCACACTCCTCATCCCACCACACTCCTCATCCCACCACACTCCTCATCCCACCACACTCCTCATCCCACCACACTCCTCATCCCACCACACTCCTCATCCCACCACACCCCTCATCCCACCACACCCCTCATCCCACCACACCCCTCATCCCACCACACTCCTCATCCCACCACACTCCTCATCCCACCACACTCCTCATCCCACCACACTCCTCATCCCACCACACTCCTATCCCACCACACTCCTCATCCCACCACACTCCTCATCCCACCACACTCCTCATCCCACCACACTCCTCATCCCACCACACTCCTCATCCCACCACACTCCTCATCCCACCACACTCCTCATCCCACCACACTCCTCATCCCACCACACTCCTCATCCCACCACACTCCTCATCCCACCACACTCCTCGTCTCACCACACTGCTCATCCCACCACACTCCTCATCCCACCACACTCCTCATCCCACCACACTCCTCATCCCACCACACCCCTCATCCCACCACACCCCTCATCCCACCACACCCCTCATCCCACCACACTCCTCATCCCACCACACTCCTCATCCCACCACACTCCTCATCCCACCACACTCCTCATCCCACCACACTCCTCATCCCACCACACTCCTCATCCCACCACACTCCTCATCCCACCACACTCCTCATCCCACCACACTCCTCATCCCACCACACCCCTGATCCCACCACACCCCTCATCCCACCACACCCCTCATCCCACCACACTCCTCATCCCACCACACTCCTCATCCCACCACACTCCTCATCCCACCACACTCCTCATCCCACCACACTCCTCATCCCACCACACTCCTCATCCCACCACACCCCTCATCCCACCACACCCCTCATCCCACCACACCCCTCATCCCACCACACCCCTCATCCCACCACACTCCTCATCCCACCACACTCCTCATCCCACCACACTCCTCATCCCACCACACTCCTCATCCCACCACACTCCTCATCCCACCACACTCCTCATCCCACCACACTCCTCATCCCACCACACTCCTCATCCCACCACACTCCTCATCCCACCACACTCCTCATCCCACCACACTCCTCATCCCACCACACTCCTCATCCCACCACACTCCTCATCCCACCACACTCCTCATCCCACCACACTCCTCATCCCACCACACCCCTCATCCCACCACACCCCTCATCCCACCACACTCCTCATCCCACCACACTCCTCATCCCACCACACTCCTCATCCCACCACACTCCTCATCCCACCACACTCCTCATCCCACCACACTCCTCATCCCACCACACTCCTCATCCCACCACACTCCTCATCCCACCACACTCCTCATCCCACCACACTCCTCATCCCACCACACTCCTCATCCCACCACACTCCTCATCCCACCACACTCCTCATCCCACCACACCCCTCATCCCACCACACCCCTCATCCCACCACACCCCTCATCCCACCACACCCCTCATCCCACCACACTCCTCATCCCACCACACTCCTCATCCCACCACACTCCTCATCCCACCACACTCCTCATCCCACCACACTCCTCATCCCACCACACTCCTCATCCCACCACACTCCTCATCCCACCACACTCCTCATCCCACCACACTCCTCATCCCACCACACTCCTCATCCCACCACACTCCTCATCCCACCACACTCCTCGTCTCACCACACTCCTCATCCCACCACACTCCTCATCCCACCACACTCCTCATCCCACCACACCCCTCATCCCACCACACCCCTCATCCCACCACACTCCTCATCCCACCACACTCCTCATCCCACCACACTCCTCATCCCACCACACTCCTCATCCCACCACACTCCTCATCCCACCACACTCCTCATCCCACCACACTCCTCATCCCACCACACCCACCACACTCCTCGTCTCACCACACTCCCCACCCCACCCCATTGCACCCCCCATCCCCAAAACTCCCGCTTGCCTACTCCCCCCCACACCAGCCGCTCACCATTTTCCATCTTTCCCCTTGCCCACCTCCCTCTCTCCCCCCACCCACCAGCCACTCACCATCCTCCTCGCCCTCCACCTGCTCCTCCAGCCCGCCCCACCCCCTCCTCCTGCCTTCCCTGCCACCACTCTTGCCTCGGACCCGGAGCACACGCCCTCTCACACTGCAGCTGGGAGGGAGCGGAGGGAGGGACAAGAGGGACAAGAGGGACAAGAGGGACAGGAGGGACAAGAGGGACATGAGGGACAGGAGGGACAAGAGGGACAAGAGGGACAGGAGGGACAGGAGGGACAGGTGCAGCGTACACGTACAGAGGGGCAGCGGCACCATCAATGCCCGAGTTGTGGGCTGATCAAGCGTTCTTCCCTCTGCATCCACGTGGTTGGTGCGAATCCACCGGTGCCCCAATCCCCTCTCTTTCCTCTGTTTCTGAACCACATATGCCCAACAATCAGCTTGCTTTCTTCCCGTCCACTGCTATACCATCTGTGCCCCATACTAGACTCTGTGTGCTGTCGGCTGTGTCGTCCATCATCTCCCTCTTCTCCCCCGTCTCCATTCGTACCACTATCCCCCTCCATCGGTTGCCTTGCCTCACTCCGGCACACCTCTATGGATGCATTCTCCCGCATAGGCGCATGTGACATCACAACCCCACTGCCTGCCCTGCATTGCTAAAAGAAGGCTGGCAGGCAGGCAAGATGGAGGCAGTCAGTCAGGCAGGCAGGCAAACAGGCAGGCAGGCACGCAGGCAGTGAATCAAATAAGCAGGCAGGCAAGCAGGCAGGCAGGGAGGCAGGCAAACAGATACGCAGGCAGTCCTCAATACAAATAATGCACACATGGCATGTAAGGTCAGGTTATTGAGGGAATGGTGATGAAAGGATTTTGAAATGGATTGGAGCCCAGTACTTGCAAAAAGGTGGAAAATCATCACCCTGGAAAAGAACGGACAAGGCACGTGGCGGCCACGTCGAGTGAAAAGAGAAGTCGAGAAATGGCTTCGCCCGGACTTGAACCGGAGACCTTCAGTGTGTTAAACTGACGTGATAACCAACTACACCACGAAACCGATGTCATGGATAAACTACATCACATTCTTTAGCCCACCACAACCTTTTCCCACCCCCCAAACCCCTCACCAACCACCCTTGCACTTCCCGCCCTGGCATGCCTCTCACCACACACTGCTTCTCACCATGTTTCTTACCATGCACTGCACCTGCAGGGGCAGACAGGGAGGCTCAAGAACCAGCCGCACTGGCAGAGCTGCTAGTGCTCTTGCCCGGAGTGGACACGTGTCTTCACCTTATTGGCCCCAACATACCCGCACACATGTGAGACCCATCTTTGGAGCTCGATGGAGTGACGCTTGGGGAGAGCTCCCTGGGGGGGTTGCCTTGAGGGGAGTGTCCTGTGGGGAGTGCCCTTGGGGGAATGGTTTGGGGGGAGTGGCTTGGGGAGAGCTCCCTGGGGGGGTTGCCTTATGGGGAGTGCTCTGGGGGGAGTGGCCTGGGGGGAGAGGATTGAGGGGCGACATTCGATGCATGTGTGGCCGTCCTTTCCTCTTCTTCTTGCTTCATCCACAGCCCAATCTCTGTAGGTTCACTCCTTGCGCCATGCACCCGTATGCCCTGCGTGTTTGCTCCACGTGCCACCCATCTCCTTGCCTTAACTCCTCATCCTCACATCCTCTGCCATCCCCACTGCCCTCACACCACACCTCCCCACTGCCCTCACACTACACCTCCCCACTGCCCCCGCACTACACCTCCCCACTGCCCCCGCCGCACCACACCCTCAGGCACGGCAAGCGAATACTCCTTCAGCATCCTCCCGACTTTGAGCCCCGCGAGCCACAACCAGCCGAGCCACAACCTGCCGAACCACAACCAGCCGAGCCACAACCTGCCGAACCACAACCAGCCGAGCCACAACCTGCCGAACCACAACCAGCCGAGCCACAACCTGCCGAACCACAACCAGCCGAGCCACAACCTGCCGAACCACAACCAGCCGAGCCACAACCTGCCGAACCACAACCAGCCGAGCCACAACCTGCCGAACCACAACCAGCCGAGCCACAACCTGCCGAACCACAACCAGCCGAGCCACAACCTGCCGAACCACAACTTACCGGGCCACAACCACCAGAAACAGCAGGAGGGGCAGCAGGCGTGGCAGTGCACTTCCACCGCGGCCTCTACCACCACGTGCTGCCCTCCCTTGCCTGCTCGCCACTCACCACCGCCCCCACTTCCGCGCTTGCCACTCCACCCATCACTGTTGCAATGCGCCCTTGCAGCCCTTGCACCTCACTACGCCGCCCTCACCACCCGACCTCTCTCCCTCACAGCGACCAGCCCCAGCAGCGTTCGCATCTCCCCCAGTCATCCCATCAGCAGCACCGGTCCTGCCACTGCCCCACGCTGCTGTTCCTTCCCAATGCGGGCCTGCCTGCCTTCCCCTCCTGGCGAGACACGCTGGTGAGTGCGAGCAAAAGAGGGAGGGAGGGGGGCTGGGTGGGTGGTATGCACGCTAAGTTGTGGAGGTAGGAAAAGGAGGTGAGACGCGCACCTGACTGCAGCAAGCGTATGGCATGACTGGGGGCTGCAGCACACGCTCCCACCCAGTCCTCACGCTGTCTCATCTTGCCCCTCTGCGCCCTGTCTCCCCGCCTGCCAGACCCTCTTGCTGCAGTGGAAGCTGCCAGCACTAATCACGGCCCACAGCCACGAGGCAGCACAGCCAGTACTCACAGCATCGTGCTGCCCCGTCCCCCCTCTCCTGCAAGGTGCCAGCGCTGATTACGGGTTACAGCCACGAGGCAGCACAGAGAGCCAGGGAGGCCGGGAGGCAGGAAGGTGCCACAAGGCATGACAGGGGGCTGCACCACCGCTCCTCTGCGTCAGCTCATGCTGTCCCCGTCTTCTCCCTCCCCCCAGTTCCTCACACTGCAGCAGGGGCTGCCAGCGCTGATCACGAACTTCAGCCATGAGACAGTAGAGAGGGGTCCGTGCTAGACCACTTGACCCCTCTGCTCTGCCCCCTGCCAGGGTCCTCATGCTACACCAGGGGTTGCCAGCACTTATCACAGACTTCAGCCACGAGGCATGAAGGGTGGCTGCACCACCTGCTCCCTCCCTTTCCTCCCAGTCATCACATCGTCGTGCTGCCTCATCTCGACCCTCTGAATCCTGTCTATCCTCCACCAGACCTTCATGCTACACCAAGGGGGTTGCCGGCGCTTATCACAGACTTCAGCCACGAGGCATGAAGGGGGGCTGCACCACTGGTTCTCTCCCCTTCCCTACATTACACCATCGTGCTGCCTCGTCCCTCTGCCCCCAAGCAGGTCCTCATGCTGCGCGGTGGGCTGCCAGCGCTCATCACGAACTACAGCCATGAGACAGCACAGAGGGCTGCACCGTGTGCCCCCTCCCCTTCCTCCCAGTCCTCACATCATCGTGCTACCTCGTCCCCCTCCCCCTCTTCGGCCTCCCGCCAGGTCCTCATGCTGCGCGGTGGGCTGCCATCGGTCATCATGGCCCTCAGCCACGAGGCCGCACAGCGAGCCAGGGAGGCATGGTAGCGCCACAGGCGACTCAGCCAGCCCTCACAGCACCATGCTGTCTCATCTCTCCCCTCCCGTCGGGTCCTCATGCTGCGCGGGGGGCTGCCAGCTCTCATGACGGACTTCAGCCACGAGGCAGCAGAGAGAGCCGGAGAAGCATGGAATCAAGAAGGCAACGAGGCAAGGAGGCGCCACAGCCAGTCTTCACAGCATCATGCTGCCCCCCCGCTTCCTCCCCCCGCCAGACCCTCATGCTGCGCCAGAGGCTGCCAGCGCTCGTCACGGACTTCAGCCACGAGGCAGCAGAGAGAGCCCGCGAGGCGCTTTGCTCGCTTGCTGCTGAGGTGCCATTGGACCCTCATGCCTCGCCCCCCTAACCCCCACCAGGTCCCCATACTGCAGCACGGGCTGCCAGCATTCATCACGGACTTCAGCCACGAGGCAGCAGAGAGGGCCCGCGAGGCGCTTTGCTCGCTTGCTGCTGAGGTGCAGCAAGGTGGTGGCACGGGAGGGGCAGCGGCGGCCTCTGGTGGTGCTGTGCTGCAGCCTGTCGTCAGCGAGGTAGGATGCTTCAGGGGAGATTATTTTTAGGGAGGGGAGGTGCAAGGGAATGGAGAAGGAGGGGCTGCAGCGGCCTCTGGTGGTGCTGTGCTGCAGCCTGGTCATCAGCAAGGTAGGAGGGCTTCAAGAGGGCGGAAGGGAAGGAATTTGCTGATTATATTTAATTGACTAAGAAGGGGAAGGGGTGTGTGTTTGTGAGATGGGAAGCTGGGTTGGTTGGGAAACTGGCCAGTATTGGTTGGGTGAGGATATTGTTGGGAGATCTCAACGTTTTTCGTGAATTGTGAGCCAAGTTGAATGAGCCCCTCAATAACTTCCGCAACCCAGCTTTGGTGGGCCAAATCATTGGGCCAAGTTTGGCTTCCGAAGCCCAAGTAGGGTAGTTCCTTTTCTGTGCGCCCAGGCTAGGTTTAGGTGCACAACTCTGTCCAAGCAGTATAGGATGTATGCACGATACAAGAGGAATGAGATTCTAACGAACGTTTTCTTTGAGCAAACTCAAATCCACGGTTCATGTCCCCGGTTTCTCACCTCTCCTCCCATTGCCCCTCCCTACCCTTCTCTCCTCTCACCACTACCACCGCCTCACTGCTCTCGCCACCCCTTCTGTTGTCCCTTCCGATCCTTCCCCACCCCTCCTACTCACCCCACCACCCCTCTCCCCTCTCCTTGCCCGCCCCATGGCATGTGCGTCTGAACCCCTTCCGCATGCCCTTCGCATATCCCATGGCCACCCTCGCCTTCCCCTCCCGCCCTTCTCCTCTCTCACCACCTGCACGCCTCACTGCTCTCACCACCCATTCTGTTGTCCCTCCGTATCCCTCCCATTGCCCCTCTCCATTCGTCTCTCCTGGCAGGTGCGTCTGAACCCCTTCCGCATGCCCTTCGCCCATCCCATGGCCAGCCTCGCCCTGCCCTCCCTGCCCAACTGCTTCTACTTCACTCTCACGTTCCCTACCGCACTCACTAGTGCTCATGCTGACGCATGTGCTGATGCATGCGCTGCAGAGCCGAGTGCATGACCACCTGCATGCTTACTGCTGCCCTCCCTGCCCAACTGCTTCTACCTCCCTCTCACCTTCGCCACTGTGCCCGCTCATACCGATGCTAATGCTTTTGCATGCATGAGCAGCTGCCATAATTGTAGGCAGGCGTGTGTTGCCCTACATCCTTGTGCAACCCCACATATCTCACTCTCTCCCTGTTCTCTCAGCACGGACTGCTGTGGACTGGCAGAGTAGATGTTGTGTTATATTGTGGTAATAGACTCATACGTAATGTTCTATTTTCGTACCAGCATTGTTCTGAATTTATACTCATACTCATCCATAAGTTGACAGGACTGGTTTGGTTTTCCAGCCTGCCCCAGAACCAAGAGGGATCTGGTCTGGTCTGGCCATGAACCAAGAGGAGTTATATATTACATATCGTTGATTAAAAAAAGTCTGCAAGTGGCAAACTCTCAGAAAGTGAATGCAACGGAATGAATTAACTAGGCAGCAGTTGGATACAAATAGAAACCCTAAGTGGGTTATCCCCTCTAGAGGGCACCTCTACAGCCTATAACAAATAATAGCATTTGACACACCCCCATAGGCTAAGTGAGGGGCGTCTAAGCAAGCAGGGTGAACAAACGGTCACAAGACCAGTCAAGACAAGAAGCAAAGCAAGCTCAGGGTGGATCTCAAAGACACCACACAAATTCGGAGCACAAGCAAGCGGCCACAAGACCAGTTGAAGAGAGTACAATATATATAAGGGCAATGACAAATAGAACAAGCAACAAGAGTAACACTACAGCAAGCGAGGGCCTACCTCAACAAGCCCTAGCTGCACGCAGAACCTGTGGTGGTCACCAGGCGCCAAGGCCTTGGTGAAGACGCCAGCAGTGTTGGCCTCTGAGGCCACCAAGTCCAAGCGTGCCTGGCCGCGTCGCTGTAGCTCTCGCAGAAGAAAGTACCTCACGTCAATATGCTTCACTCTGCTCTCCATTCGAGGCTCTTGACACAAATTGATCATGGCCTTGTTGTCAGCGTACAAGGTCGGCACAGAGCGAGGCTGCTTACCAAGGTCGGCGAGCAAGAAGGTCAGACCAGCGGAGCTCCTGTGCCGCCATGGCACCAGCGTAGATCTCTGCCTCTGCACTGGACGAAGCCACAGACGACGACCGTGTGGACCTCCACGACACGGCACCAGCACCCAGACTGAAACAGTAATCCAGAGTCGAACGCTGGGTCTCCGCGTCGTCAGCGTAGGAAGAGTCGCAGTGACCGGTCAACTCAACTGGCCGTGTCCCTCCAAGCACAAGCCCCATGCCTGATGTAGTCGCCAGGTACTTCGCCACCCTCACGGCAGCTGTCTAGTGAATAGGACGGTGTCTCCTAGTCGCAACAAAGCGATAGAGGACGCTGAGGGGAAAGGCGAGGTCCGACCGAGTACAAGTCATCAGGTACATGAGGCAACCTACAAGCTCTGCGTGGGGACCACTAGACTCAAAGGGCTCGTCGGGAAAAGGGCCAGTGAGACGGTGGTCAACGGCAAGAGGAGTGGGCTGTGTGGTGGAGAACTGAAACCCGAACCGCCGAAAGACCTGCTGCACCATGTGTGACTGAGTCAGTGTGATGGTGCGAGCGGCTCTGTCCCTGGTGATCTGCAGGCCAAGGGAGCGCTGCAGCTCACCGAGGTCAGTGCACGTGTGTCTCTTCTGCGGTTTGGATTTCACCTCCGCCAGTGCTGCCCTGTCTGCTGTAGCAAACACCAGGTCATCGACGTAGACCAGGATAAAAAAGGGAGTGCAGCAGTGTGAACAAACAGCGACGGGTCAGCAGAGGAAGGACGAAACCCTAGGTCACGAAGCGTGGAGCGCAGAGTGTCGTGCCACTCACGGGGCAACTGGCGGAGACCGTAGACTAGCCGCCTCAAGCTCCACTAAGTCCCAGGTGGGAAGGTGTCAATGAAACCAGGAAGACGGTGCAGCCAGATCTCCTCATGTAAGCGGCCCTGGAGGAAAGCAGTGGAGAAGTCAAGAGAGTGCAGCTCGTAGTCTCGCTGTGCTGCTACGTGGAGTAACACCCGAAGAGTAGTCATCTTTGGGGTCGGGGCGAAGGTCTGGAAGAAGTCAACTCCCTCACGGTGACTGAAGCCCCTAGCCACGTAACGCGCCTTGAATACATGCGGTGATCCAGGCGGCCGTTTCACATTGAAGAGCCACATGCCATCGACAACGTTCACCCTGGGAGGGGGAACTACGTCAACGTAGGTGCCTGTGGATCTCCAATAAGCCAACTCTGAGTCCATGGCCGCTTTCCACTAAGAGGCCCACTCCCCTGACACTGCCTCACGGTACGTGCGAGGAGTCGGTATGTTAAGGGCGTCGGGGTCTCCCTCAAGGGAAAGCAACATGGCACAGAGAGAGGGGGGAAGCGGCTGCCGGGAACTCCAGATCGAACTACCTGTCTTCGAGGACGTCACAGCCAAGGGCAAACCCACCCCCGGCGGCCTTAGGACGGGCAGGCAGGGTAGCCACGACACGCGTGGCAAAGTCAAGGCGGCGGGTGGACGCAAAGTCAGTGACAGCGGCTGTGAGAGCGGAGACAGACGACGGAGAGGCACGAGGGTCGGTGACAAGAGAGGCGAGAACACGCGAGACAACTGGACGCGCCGTACGGTAGTAGTCAGTGATAGGGTGAGAGGAGACAGTGAGAGACGACGCAGGAGGTGACGGGAGAACAGACTCTGGTGGAGTATGACGAGGACTGGAACGAAACAAGGCAGTGCAGAGGTCGGCAAGAGGAGACGAGGGACAAGCACGCAGGGGACAACGAGCGGTCCAGTCGTGCGGGACAACAGGAGGAGGTGACTATGACCGAGGAGGAGGGAAAACAGCCGGAGAAGAGTCCGGAGGAGGAAATATAGGATCGTAAGTGGGCAGCGACTGCGGGTGGAAAGGAGGAGGGGAGGGAAGACCAAGGGCCCGAAGGCCACTCACTGGTGTGACCACGGGTTGCGGTGGCTGTTGCTGCTGCTGCTGCGCCTGCTCCTCCTGCCGGTCCAATTGTCGCAGCTGCTGCCTCTCCTGCTCCAAACGCTCCTGCTCCTCGCGCTCAAGACGGCGAAGAGCCTGGAGACGTGTGTAGTAGCGGGGTGGGGGCGAGCCGCCAGCTCCCGTCTCCTCAGTGCCACTACCTCCAGCGTTAGCACCCTCGGCTCCACCGTCCCCAGTACAAGCACCGCCAGCGCCAGTACCTCCACCTCCAACACCCCCAGAGCTAGCACCTCCAGTGCCAGCACCTCCAGCTCCAACACCCCCAGAGCTAGCACCTCCAGTGCCAGCACCTCCAGCTCCAACACCCCCAGAGCTATCACCGCCAGTGCCAGCACCGCCAGCTCCAACACCCCCAGAGCTAGCACCTCCAGTGCCAGCACCTCCAGCTCCAACACCTCTCGAACGAGCGCCCTCAGCCCGAGTACCTCCAGCGGCAGCACCTCCAGCTCCAACACCACCTGAGTCCACAGTAACCTGTCGCGGAAGTGTCAAAGGCTGTTGAGGGGACTGTGAGGAGGACTGTGGGGAGGGAGACGCTACCTGACGCGCGACCGAGGGGAGAGGGGTAGCGTGAGACACACCTGATGGGGCAGGACCAGGGTGGGGCGGGGGGACCTGAGGAGCGAGAGCAGGAGGAGGAGAGGGTGCGAGGAAAAGAGGAGGAGGGGGGACCGGGAGACCTCGCCAGGGGTACCTGGTGTAGTAGGACACTAACTCGTCAAATATGACGTCACGAGAGTCGAGAACCTGGTGGAGGGGCGGGTGATAAAAGGAGTATTCGGGAGAACCCACCGGGAAACCAAGGAAGACATAGGGGATGGCGCGAGCCGAGATCTTGTCTGCAGAGGTATCGCTGACGAGTACAAGGCAGCCCCAGACACGAAAGACCGACTCAACACCAGGGGACCCGGTCCAAAGACTGGTCGGTGAAGCCTCTGGCCGCGAGACACGCGGCTGGAGGTTCAGCTCGTGGGCGGTGTAGCGCACCATGTAGGGCCACAGAAAATGGGGCGCACTGGCATGGATCATGGACGTACGAGCGATGTCCATGACTAAGCCAATGCGGCGCTCAGCATCCCCATTCTTCTGTGGGGACTCCGGAAGCGTCCAGGACTGTATGATGCCCTGCTCGCCACAGAACTCGGCAAGAATGCCAGAGCGAAACTCACCCCCACGGTCGGAGTGGAGACAACTGACACGACTATCTCGAGTGCCCTCAGTGGCCAGAATCCACCGGATCAGTGTAGTAGTCACCTCGGACTTCTTCGCGAGAGGAAACACTGTGGTGTACCTGGAGTAGTCAGAAAGTAGCACTCCCTCCCAGATCCCTGCGTCGGGGCAGGGCCCCAGACGTCCAAGTGGAGAGTCTGGAAGGGAGCAGTGGCCGGACGAAGGGAGGAGGAGTGCGGAGTGGCTCGCAGGCGGCCGGCGGCGCAAGGGGCGCAAGGTGGAGCAAGGGACCGACGGGTGGCCAAGGCGGTGGTTCCACAAGACGGTCGGGTGGGCTAGGAACCGACAGGAGCAAGACGCAGCAAGTAGACCAGACACAGCAACCTGACCGGACACAGCAACCGGTGGGGACGCAGTAAACTGACCGGACTCTGCTACCGGGGGGGACGAAGCAACCTGACCAGACGCAGCTACTTGCGGGGGCGGAGCGTGCAGGACGAAGAGACCTGAGTGGGGCTCTCTGGTGAACGTGGCAAGAACTGCCCCGGTGGAAGAGTCCGTACAGATCGCAGTCCTCTCGTGCGCAGGAAAAGTGACTGTGATCCCCCGGTCCTGAAGGTATCCAACACCCACCAAGTTCCGAGAGAACGAGGGGATGTAGAGACCAGTGAGGAAACCAGAGGGGACAGTTGGGCACGGGAGAGTGGTCGAGCTGCGAGCAACTGCTGGTCTTGAAGTAGGATCAGCCAGCGCAACTGGGACTGGAGCCGAAAGAGGTGTGACAGTGGTGTGGTTGCGGAAGAAGCACTGAGACGCGTCGGAGTCCAGCGTGAAGGAGAGCGACGCAACAGCAATCGTCACGGCTGGACTAGTGACTACACAAGCACCTACACTAAAAGCACAAGTACCGACACTATCAACAGGCAAAGGTCCTAAGCTAGGTACACGTAAGCCAAGAGATCCGTACGTGACAGAATAAACAGCATCCATATACATATCAAACACAGGGTAACCACTACGAAACAGACCGGGCCAGATCGGGGGAGCTGACTCAAGCCCAAAACGCTCAGGGTAGAGGTCGTCGAGGCGACTGTAGCAGTGCTGTGCAGGACGCCAGCAGGTAGTGCCAGCACCAGGGCCGGTCAGGATCCGGTACTAGCAGGGGCCGACGTCGCGGCCACCGCGACGAGCCCCCTAGCTGGCTGGGCCGCTGCTGCAGCCAACTCTACCCGAACCACCAGGCCCCCACGGCTGCTGAGGGCGCCACAGCTGCTGCGGGTGCCACTGCTGCTGAGGGCGCCACTGCTGAAACTGCCGTTGCTGCTGTCCCTGCTGCTGGAGAACCCTAGTGGACGCCATGATAAAGGCTAGGAGCGACAGGAGCTAGAGACGGCTGCAGTGAAACAACGAGAACAACTAGGAGTGCCAGGTGAGACTAGGCGAGGAACGGCTGGAGCACGGAGCAAACTGAGCTAGGAGCTCCAGGTGAAACTAGGCGAGGAACGACCGGAGCATGGAGGAATCTGAGCTAGGAGCGAGGAGCGAAAACGGCTGGAGCTAGAACGTCTGGAGCGAGAACGGCTGGAGCTACGCACGGCTGGAGCTAGGAGTGGCTGGAGCTCGAACGGCAAGAGCTAGAGACTGTAAGTGCGGCTGTCGGTTGCCGCTGGTAAAGCCACTGGCAGTGGAAAGCACGTGCGACAGTAGAGGTTGCAGTACTGACGGCTGCGGTATGTAGGGAACTGTGCAGGTCGTCCAGCAAGCAGGAACGCAGGCGACAGTTGCAGCCCCCCACCCTGAACCCCCCTTTTTTTTCTTTTTCTTTTTAGGGTTTAATTAATTAATTTATTTTATGGCGCTAAAGCGCTGCCGGGCGCGCTGCCTGCAGGGTGTGCTGCCTGCGGGGTGCGCTACCCGCGGGGCGCGCTACCTGCTGGGCACGATACCTGCGGGGGCGCGCAGCCTAGGGGCAGGGCGACGCGCGGGCTAGGGGCAGGGCGCACGGGCACGCACGGGCTAGGGGCAGTGCGCACGGACGACGTGACGGGCTGGGGCAGGGCGCATGGGCGACGTGACGGGCTGGGGCAGGGCGCACGGGCTACGCGACGGGCTAGGGCAGGGCGCAGGGGCTACGCGACGGGTTAGGGCAGGGCACACGGGCGACGCGACGGGCTGGGGCAGGGGCCACGGGCGACGCGACGGGCTGGGGCGGAGGCGCGATTCGGAGGGCGTGGAGGGCGCGTACGGGAGGGCTAGGCGAGGAGGCGCGGATGGCGCGTTACGGAGGGCGCGGAGGGCGCGTTATGGAGGGCGCGTTACGGGAGGCTAGGGCGCGGAGGGCGCTAGGGCGCGTGACGAAGGGCGCGTAAGGCGCGGAGACGCCTTAGAGCGCGGAGGGCGCGAGGGCGCGGAGGGCGCTAGGGCGCGTGACGGAGGGCGCGTAAGGCGCGGAGGCACTTTAGGGCGCGAGGTAGGCTAGGCTAGGCAAGGATGCTAAACCTACTCGTGATACCATCTCAGAAAGTGAATGCAACGGAATGAATGAACTAGGCAGCAGTTGGATACAAATTGAAACCCTAAGTGGGTTATCCCCTCTAGAGGGCACCTCACTACAGCCTATAACAAATAATAGCATTTGACACAAAGATGCCGTATTGTGCTAACCATTGTTTTGCATTTACATGTTTACCGAGTGAGTTGAGTGGATTGTGCTGAGCGAACTCGAAGTAGAGAGAAGGACTACCAAAGGTTTTGCCCGGATGCGAGCTGGGCTATGCAGAGCTCGTAACGAGGCTCGGATTATTCCTCAAGCGATTAGGCATTTTACAGCAGTGCATGGTTTGGAGAATATCGCGCATTGCAGTGAATACTGAGGATTGGTAACGAGCGAACAAAGGCCGGGTCCCAATGTTTATTGTTGTACGCAATGAGATCAGGTGCTATGTAAGAATGTTGTTAACCTTTTAAAGTAAGGATTTTACATCTCTTACAAGTTGTCTTGTTACGGAGATGTTTGCAACTGTTGCTTTTCCCGCCAATGTGGGTTCTCGAGGCGCTTTCCCTCAACGGTGCTGCATATTTGAGGTTCCCGCGGAATTATCTGTTCCGCCGCAGTTGCAGTACAGCGGAGTGCGTTCCGCCTCCAGCAGCAACCAGTGACATGACCTGCGCGGGTGTGGAGTTGAGCGGATTCCTGCGCTGAACAAACTCGAAGTGGTGCCGTGCTGCAGGCAGCGGCAGCCTCGAGGCCCGTTCAGCCACCTTCTTCTACTGTTGTTCAGGAGGAAGCAGCAATCTACGTTCTCTCGTCTCATAGACTATTCCAGATTGTCGTGCGCTGTTGTGTCGCTGCGTCGATTGCATTAGAGGCTATTCCAAAAGAGGTTACGATACGACTAGCGCTGGCTTTGCGTTCTTGACCACGAGCAGTAGAGTGATTCTTAGCTTCAGTTCACTCCGTTCATCGTCTGTCGCTTCGTCGCTATCGTCATGCTGCCGAGACCACTTCTGACAGCTGCCACGTAAGCGAATCGCCTTTGACCAACGCCGCGCTTCGCTGTCGAGCCTGACGACCACCATCGCTTATAAACTCCGCCTTTCGTGAGGGAATTGCCAATTTCTATACAAGCGGAGACAGCCGTAGCTGACGCGTACTTAATATCAAACAAGTCATAGCTGAAAGCCTCTCGCCTGCTTTCAGGCGTCGAAACATGCTTCCTATGGAGAGCAGCTTAACTGCTTTAGAGTCGACTTTTTTTTCATTTTCTTTGTTTATGTTACGGATCGATCAAATTATAGCATGCACCTTACCTCCGCCAATCTCTTGTTGGCGGCGCCACATTTGATTGTAGCCTTTACAGTGACCGCATACTCGACCGCTGGACTATCATCCCCTTTCCCCTCAAGGTGTGTTTTGAGTCGACTCAAAACACACCATCATCCCCTCTCCCTCCACTCGTCCTATCCCAGCTTTAAAGCCCGCACTCTTACCATAGCGCGTCGAATCCAGTTTTTCGTCTTTTTTCGCTTTCCGCATTTGATTCTATCCTTCTCCCTCCCTCGCCCCTCGCAGCATGGTGGCAGCCCACGGGTATCCGGCGTACCGCTGCTTCAAGGCCATGCAGCGACGGCGAGTCGATCTGCACGAGCTCCTCTTCTTCTGCCAGTTCTGGTCCGTGCTACCCCCGCCGCGCGCCTTCCCCTCGTGCTGCCCCCGCCGCGCCTTCCCCTCGTACTGCGCCGCGCCTCCTCCTCGTGCTGCCCCCACACCTTCCCCGCGCGCTGCACCTCACGCTTCCCTCGTTCCCTCCACCCCCGTCGTCCATCCCCACGCTTCATCGCCCGCCTGCACCTCCCCATGCTGGGAAATGTTGGTGCCCGTCTGCACTCGTGGTTCCTTAGAGTCGCCGTGTTAGCCACTCCATAGCTCCTTGCGCTCTTGCCCTTCCGCCGCGTCCGTGCTCCCTCCTCAGCACGCCGTCACCACCCCGTCCTCCCTCGCCCGTTATCCTAGGTCTATCCTGCCATCATATTCCATTCCATTCCTATGCCACTATTCACCGCCCCTCCCCATCACCCCTCCCCATCGCCCCTTCCCACCGCCCCTCCCCCACCGCCCGTCCCCCACCGCCCCTCCCCCACCGCAGGGTGCTACTATCGCTGCTGGCGCTTCTCGAGGGCCTCGCCTCGCCGCTGCTGGACTGGTGAGTCCTCACGTCGCTTTGAACCCCCTCGTCGCGTCACCCCTTCACGCCGTTTTATGGTGGCTCTTATCTTCCTCCCAGTCATTGCGCCCATAAGTGTTCCCTGGGAATGACCCTGTGCTCGTGGAGTATGCAGCAGTGACGCATGTGACAGTGACGCATGTGACAGTGACGCATGTGACAGAGACGCATGTGACAGTGACGCATGTGACAGTGACGCATTTGACAGTGACGCATGTGACAGTGACGCATGTGACAGTGACGCATGTGACGCATGTGACGAATGTGACAATAGGGCATGGGACACTGACGCGTGTGCGTGTGCTACATGTGAATCGAACGCCTAACACATGCCGCTGTGCTGGTATGTGCTCCTGTGTGTCCCACCACCAGGGTACCGCTGTACCAGGAGGCCAAGCTTGCCTTCATCGTCTACCTCTGGCACCCGCGCACACAGGTCAGTGGCTAAGGGGCAGAGTTCTGCCGTGGTTTTGGTTTCTCCTCTGTCTCCACTGCTGCTTCGCCTGCTCGTGTTTGCCACTTCTGCCATGCTCTTTCTCCTCCACTTAGCTCCCCTGCGTCCCCCTCGTCATGCCCTCATTCCCCCCTTGCTCACTCTGTCCTCTCACCCTCCCTTTCCACCATCGCGCGCATTTTCAGGGAACGGAAATTGTGTATGGGTCGATGCTGCAACCTCTGCTCTCCCGCTACGAGCCAATCATCGACCGCCACTTGGCACACCTGGAGGATCGGGGGAGGGACATGGCTGTGGATTGCTGGCGTGCTGGCGTGGCCTACACTGGTGCTCGCTTCGAGGAGCTCATTGCTTACCTGGCGTCCCTGTCAGCACAGGCTGCTGCGTCAGCAGCAATGCGCGGGTTGGAGGGGAGTGAAAGGCGGGAGGAAAGGGAGAGGAGGGAGAGACAAGTTGAGGTTCTGAGGAGTGAGAAGGGGGATGGAGCAGAGAGGAGGAAGGTGGGGGATGAGCAGCAGGAGGAGGTGAGGGGAAGGAGGAAGTACCTGCAGAAGTACGGAGGGGAGGCAGTGCAGCTGAGGTCGGTAGCGGGTGACGGGGGAGTGCAGAGGCCGGGGTATGAGAGACGGCTTCTGGGGGACGAGGCTGAGGGCGATGGGCGGAGGGCAGAGGTGGAGGAGCAGAGGGTGCAGCAGGGGAGCGTGCAGAGGCAGGCAGTGCGGTACAGAAATGTGGACTCGGATTCGGATGGGGACGGTGGGGAGAGCGATGGGGCGAGTGGTGGGAGTGGAGCGAGCAGTGAGTTCGAGATGGTGGACGCTGAGAGGGAGTTCAGCACGGGCTCAGCAGCAGATGAGCGTGTAGCTGCTGGCACTGCTGCCAGTGCAGGCGGTGCTGGCAGTGGTGGGACAGGGCGAGGTGGGGGCAGTGGGTGGTGGGGGAGCAAGCAGCTGGCAGCAGGCCTTGCGGGTCTGGGCAGAGCGTTGAGCCCCTCCAACAGCCAGGCAAGGCAGGCAGCAGCACCACCACCTGCCATGCTGCACGGCGCTCTGCCTCCGGCTGCACTGCTGCCAGCTGGGGTTGCAAGTGGGCTTGATGACGTGGCACCAGACCAAGTGGATGACGTGGCAGCAGCCACGGTGGTGGGGGAGGCTTCGCCTCATCCGAGTGGGATCAACCTGCGCCCGCGGCGGTCGCAGCGGCCGAAGAAGCAGTTCTAGGTGCGGGGTAGTTGAGGTGCGTTGCTGGGTGTCACTCTGTGCCTGCAATTCTGGTAGGAAGGGGACCTGCTTGGCGTTGCTGTGGTGGGCACTGTGAAATGCAACAGGTTCCGCTTTTGAGACAGTTTGGAAGTTACGAAGCCGCGGAGCCAAGTGTGATGGATGGCAGCGTTGGCCGTGACACTGGGAGGGAATGAAGGGAGCATGGAGGGCGGAAGGAATAAGGGATGCATGGCCAACTTGGCCTCAAGTACTGCAAATGCAAGTCTCGTGTCACCTTGGAGAAACGCTCTATGCAGGCAGCATGGAGCTGCTTAGTCAGCTGCTCGTCCGGCTGAGCAGGCAGCGGGGCTTGCCAGTTTCTCAGGCTTCTTCAGCCTCTTGCTGTTGTGACCTTATCAGCTGAATCGGTGCAGCTCAGCAGTGGATGGCAGGAATGTACATAATGAACTGTAGAGGGTCTTCTTCCCTGTTTAGCACTGTAGTTTTGACTCATTCATGTTATAGCCTTCGCCAGAAATAGCTAGTGTATCTTACAGTCATGGACAGTACCACAAACTTTAATTCCTGCTACCATGACCACCTATAGAGAAACCCTTTTCGTAGATTAGGACCCATGGGGTCTTCATCTGGGTATAGGGGCCCTGTTGAGCCAACCCCACCCACATCCCTCCCTCCAACCCGAGTTTTGAAACATAGGGAATGGAATTGACGTGATATTAGATCGCATAATTCATCTGCTAGTACCGTAGCCATGTCACGGGGAAAATCAGGAGCAGTTAGACACGATTTGAGATTCATTTCGCTCAATACACCAACAGTGTGCGCAAACCTTCGTTATGTGTATACTGTGTGTATCACTGGTGCACTGGAGCTCTGATGGTACCGCATCAGATCTACTACCGTACACATTCAGGAATCCACCTTAAAACCAGGGTACACATTCAACGCGACTCCAGGCTAAATTTTGGGCGGCATGTTTGCGGGAACTGCTGATTGGTTGACGAGTAGCGAATAAATAGTTGAGAATGGGCGAGCATGGGGCTTTTCGTCCGTGAGAGATGAGGCTTGGCAGGGGAGAAATTGATAACACTTGGATCTAGAAATTGGGGATCAAGGGGAGGGCAACTGGGTTGGCGGAAAGGGGAAAGGGGGTGAGACGATATTGTGGGGGAAGGGGAAACAATTTCGGTGGGAGCGGAATAGGTATGGGGAGGGGGGAAACGAATTGGCGGAAGCACATTCGATGACTTCGGTATACATTTGCCAAATCTCGAGGGTTCAAATGTTCACCTGCTGAAGCGAACACTCCCCCCAGATATTCCTAAATCACTGAGTAACCCCGAGGTCAAAGGTTAACCTTTGACAGAAATCCAATTGAATGTGCACCCTGGTTTTAAGAACACGAATAATCGTTCATAGACCAGAGTTCTTCCATTGGAGCTTGCGATGCGATGCGACACTCTAGAGGCTACTCTAGAGGCGTTTTCTCATCTGTTGGTTTGGTTCAACACCACGGCATGCAAGCAAGGTTCTGCATATCGAGATTGAATAGTTTGCAGTGGTTTTCGTCCGGTGATGGCGTTGGGTGATGGAAACCATGGAACCCGCATGTGGTTCGGAAACCATGGAACCCGCATGTGGTTCGGAAACCATGGAACCCGCATGTGGTTCGGAAACCATGGAACCCGCATGTGGTTCGGAATCTCCAGAGTAGCAAACAGATTAGTGCTAAGTGAGCTTCTTCACTGTGCTATCACCAGGTAAAGCTTCCTCGCTGTAGCTTCGTCCACTATGCATGCTCGTCACTGGTGTGCATCGGGGCCATCTGACACGTCGAAATGTTTCGGAACCTTGTTTCGCATGTCGCACATCACTCGAATCGCTTATGTGGCCAGGATCTCTATGCTCGCTGTTCTGGGTCTTGACCTGACGAAACAAGATTCAGACAGCCATATTGACTGAACATTTTCGTCCTCTTCCTTCGCAGAGGGACTTCACGTTTTGCTCGTTTCTGAAGCTCTCTGTTGCTTACCAGCAAATGGGGAGATGCGAGATATGCGGTACGTACTCGAACAGCTGTTATCAGTGTGCTGTCTGCATTCCCTGTAAGCGATCGGATGCAACAATCGAAAAATTGAAGACTCAAATCAGTGAGCTACAAAAAATCAAGGACCAAGCAAACAGGCGGTCTCTTTTTTCGATGAAGACGATAAGGCATGCTGGACATGCCTTTTTGTGATGTCACTCTGGAGACAAGCGATGGGGTTAAAGTACCTGCTCATCGCTGCGTGCTTGCTACATGGTTAGTGCCCTTTCTCCTTGCTTTCGATTTTACTTTCTGAGTGGTTCATAACAGATTGCAAGAGTTAATTTCCCTGCAGGTCCCCTGTTTTCGCGACAATGTTCAGCAGCGGATTTCAGGAAGAAAAGAGTCGGCATGTTAAGATGAAGGACGTTAACAGCGCAACCTTGAATGAGCTACTTACTTTTATGTACACAGGCGAGCTGCACATACAGACTGTGACCCAGAAGGTGAGAATCAGCAGGCTTTTGTCTCAGTGCCCAAGAATAGATTCGGGAGAAGACAACTGTGCTGCTTCTATCTGTGTGATTGTGCAGGAATTGAACCTCTTGGCAGCAGCAGACAAATACCAAGTCCAGGAACTAAAAGGGTACCTGGATATGTGCCTGCACAATCTACTCAAGGCCGGAGCCTTTGAACCTGTAAGCATGTACATGTGAAACTGTTAATGTGGTAGTGCATGTTCACCTCTTTCAGACTGTTTTCAACACTTTGTAACGTGTTGTGTGACATACTGTGCAGGGAATTTTGTTATCAGGTAATGACGGGGAGAGAGAAAAGGCAGTAGAACTGCTGCAGAAGGCGTTAAAGGGGGCTTGATTACTGTACATACCTATTTCTCCTTGTGCACCTTCATAGCGTTCAGGTTATCTAGCCTCCATAAGACCAGGGCTTATCCATCAGCATAATGCGTGCTTAGTAACTGCAGATTTCATGGCCATGCTCCTTTTGTTTTTGAGCCGGGCTGGAAAATTAGGTCAATTGGTACATTTCCTGCGTGTCAGATGTGCCTTCATGCAGTTTGAATATGCAGCATTGGTACAGGTAGCACCAGAAACAAAAGTGAATAATATTGCTTGCATGAAAAAAACAACACTACCGGTATCTATATCATGAGTATATTACCAAATTGTGCCATACCGCAACGTAAGATACTGCATCACATCAGTCCATGGTGAGAGACTAAGGAGGGGGTTAAGTGGAGTATTACAGAGGGGTAGGTGGGTACAATACAATACCGGTACATACCGTATCTGCACTCATGGCAGTTGCTCTTGCACTCATGGCAGGTACTCCTGCATGAGTCATCTCTGCAGCGAATGCATGAGCATCGGCTCACCACTAGTGAGTGTGGTTGATAGGCTGGGAGGGCAGAACTAAGCATGCATGCATGCATGCATCCAGACATGGCAGTTGCCCATGCGCTCATCTCTGCAGCGCATGCATCAGCATCAGCACGAGCAGGCGTAGCAGGGAATGTGAGAGTGAAGTAGAAGCAGTTGGGCAGGGGTGCTCATGCACTCAACTCTTTAACACATGCATGAGCACCAACACAAGAGGGCTCAGTGGGTGCAGTGCGGAGGGTGAGAGTGCACCCTTGTGCCAAATCCCCACCTCCCTGCCTCCCCGCCTCCCTGCCTCCCAGCCTCCCCGCCTCCCCCCTTTCCTCCCTGCCTTCCTGCCTCAGCAGGCTCAGCAGTGTAATAGTGCGATGAAGGGAGGAGAAGGAGGGAGCGGATGGTGCGGCCCTCTGCCTTGCCTCGTGGCTGTTATCCGTGATGTGCACTGGGAGCCTGTGCTGCAGCATGAGGGTCCAGGCGCGGGCAAACAGGGGGCAGATGGGTGAGGAAGCATGATGATGTGAGCCTGGGACGGAGTAATTCAGCCGCCTGCCTGTCATGCCTCTTCTCATGCGTTCTGGCTCAAGTCCGTGATGAGCGGTCGCAACCCTCAGCCATGCCCCGTGGCTGAAATCCGTGATGCGCGATGGCAGGCTGTGCTGCAGCATGAGGACCCGGCGGAGGGGAGACAGGGGGGTAGACGGACGGGAAGAGTCAGCACGATGATGTGAGGACTAGCAGAGAGTGGGTGTTGCAACCCCCAGCCATGCCATCTGCTGACAGACTGACGCTTGCTGCCATCAGGTGCGTGCCTCACCTCCTTTTCCTACCTCCACAACTAAGCATGCATACCACCCACCCAGCCCCCCTCCCTCCCTCTTTGCTCCCACCCACTCACCAGCGTGTCTCGCTATGAGGGGCAGGCAGGCGGGCCGGCATTGGGGAGGAAGAGCAACGTGGGGCAGTGGCACATGGGGTGCTGCGGCACCAGGGTATGGAAGGGCATGGAGAGGGGATGGGTGTTGAGAGTGGTGCAGTTAGTTGCAGGGGCACACTGCAATAGAGGTGGGGGGGTGGTGAGGGCAGAGGAGGGCGGGAAAGCGAGTGCAGCAGTGGGGGGAGTGGTGAGGGCAGAGGTTGGCGGGAAAGCGAGTGCAGCAGCGGGGGGAGTGATGAGGGCAGAGGTTGGAGGAGTGGCGAGCGCAGAAGTGGGGGGGAGTGGCGACCGCAGCAGCGGGGTGGGGGTGGGGTGGTGAGTGGCGAGCAGGCAAGGGAGGGCAGCACGTGGGCCTCGATGGAAGTGCACTGCCACGCCTGCTGCACCGCCTGCTGCCACGCCTGCTGCACCGCCTGCTGCACCACCTGCTGCACTGCCTGCTGCACCACCTGCTGCACTGCCTAATGCTGCTGCCGCGCTTGCTGCCACGCCTGCTGCACCGCCTGCAGGTTCCGGTGGCTGTGGCTCGTGACGATTGTGGTTCGGCAGGTGGTGGTTCTGCAGGTTTTAGTTCGGAAGGTGTGGCTTGGCAGGTTGTGGTTCGGCAGGTTGTGGCTCGGCAGGTTGTGGCTCGGCAGGTTATGACTCGCCAGGTTGTTGTGGCTCAGAAGGTTGTGGCTTGGCAGGTTGCGGCTCGCAAGGCTCAAAGACGGGAGGATGCTGAAGGAGAATGTGCTTGCCGTGCCTGCAGAGGAGGTGCGGTGTGGGGGCAGCAGGGACAACACAGATGTGAGTATAAGGAGGGGTTACTTCAAGGGGATGGGTGGCACGTGGAGTAAGCACAGGGGGTATATGGGTGCATGGAGCAAGGAGTGAGCCTAGAGTGACTGGGATGTCTATTAAGCAGAATGAAGAGGGAAGGGCTACCACACATGCGCAATGTGCTCCCCAGGCCAGCATGTGCCTTCCCTCCAATGCAATGCACTATCCTCAAGGCACACCCTCAGGCGTCAATGAGGTGGGGTCTCACATGTGTGGAATAGCGTGGCCAATGAAGTGAAGACATGTGTTCACTTCTTGCATCAGCACTCACTCGCAGCCACATCTACGTTGGGCATGCAATGCACTCCCCGCAAGGCACCCGACCAACGGCCCTCACATGTGCGGTGGAATGGCAGGGCCAATGAGGTGCAGACACGTGTCCACTCCAGGCAGCAGCACTCTCAGCTCCGGCAGAGCCACCACTTCTAGCGCCTCCCTGTCCGGTGCAGGTGCAATGAAGTGTGTGGTGAGAGGCATGGTAAGAGGCATGGTGAGAGGCATGGTAAGAGGCATGGTGAGAGGCATGGTGAGAGGCATGGTGAGAGGCATGGTGAGAGGCATGGTGAGAGGCATGGTGAGAGGCATGGTGAGAGGCATGGTGAGAGGCATGGTGAGAGGCATGGTGAGAGGCATGGTGAGAGGCATGGTGAGAGGCATGGTGTGAGGCGGTGCGTGGTGAGGGGCATGGTAGGGCGGGGAGTGCAGTGGGTAGGTGGTGAGGGGTTCTGAAGAGAAGGTAAGGGGAAGAGAGGGGAGAGGGGTGAAATTATGGCACAGCTGTGGCACAGCTATCGCTAACATCTCATCGAGATATTGAAACGAATAAATAATGTTTGTTCAAAATGGTTACCATCGGTTTCGTGGTGTAGTTGGTTATCAGTTGCAGACCCGCAGCATGGTCCCCCAAACTCCAAGACTGCATCAGTAATCGGCTCAGCTGCATCTGCTCGCGAAACTGAGAAGCGGACCCTGTATGCATCTTCCTTACAAAACCGCCCAGACGTGAAGCTTCTTCCTCTCGTTCTTGAAACCTTCGGTTGCTTCAGCACGGCATTTCTCAGCTTCATCAAAGACTGCAGCAGACGAGGGGCGACTCGACTTCGTGACATGGGTGGTGCATCTGACCTGATTCCAGAGCTCTTCGAGACTAGCTACTTCAAGAGGATTTCCTTGGTGCACCAGCGTGAGCAGGCTCGAACCATCTGCCGTCGGACACAAATTCGTTACAGTGTTGACACACCCTCCGCCCCACCAGATCCCACCCCACCCTCCTTGGCTGACTTTGCGTACCTTGGTGTTGGTTCTTGAGACCTCATTGGGGGTCTCAACCTAGGATTGCAGTTGGGCCATTGCTAGTTAGGTAGCCTCCTGATGCTCAAATCCGTCTGTATCTTTTGTACACATATAAATTGTAAATAAAGTGGTTATCACGTCAGTCTAACACATTGAAGGTCTCCGGTTCAAGTCCGGGCGAAGCCATTTTACAACTTCTGTTTTGACCTGACATTGATACTACCATACGTCATGTCGGCTCTCCTCCCTAGGGTGATATTTTTCCGCCTTTCCGTGCCACTTGCAACAAATGGGCTCCGATTTTTTTCGAAGTCCTTCCAACACCCTTTCCTCAATAACCTGACATGATATGTCATGTGTGCAATATTTAGATTGAGGCCTGCCTACCTATCTGCTTGCCTGTTTGGCTGCCTGCCTGCCTGCCTGCCCGCCATCCTGCCAGCCTGCCTGTTCGCCATGCAGGAAAGACAATGGGTTTGTGAAGTTACATGCGCCTACGTGCGAGCATGCATACATAGAGGTGTGATGGAATGAGGAAAGGCAACCAATAGGGCATGACAGTGGTACGAATGGAGATGGGGGAGAAGAAATCCCAATGCATGGAGGTGTGAAAGGGTGAGGCACAGCAACGGATAGGGGAGGATAGTGGTATGAATGGAGATGGGGGAGAAAGGGGAGATGATGGAGCTGCGACGACACAGGCGGCAGCACACAGAGTCTGGTAGAGGACGTGGAAGGAGGTGGGTTGGATAGAAAGAATGCAAGATGATTGCTGGGCACATGTGGCTTAGAAACAAAGGAGAAGAGGGGGAGGGTGATTAACGCACCCATGCATGCACCAAAGACATCGATGCACCAAAGACATCGGTGCACCAAGCACGTGCATCAAGATGATTGCTGGGCACACGTGGCTTGGACACAGAGCAAGGGGGGGTGATTGGCGCACCCATGCATGCGCACGAATCACATGGGGGGCGAGTGGTCAGCCCACACCGCCAGCACTGCTGCTGCCCCTCCTCTTCACTGTCGTGCTCTGATCCGCTCCCCCTCTCTGCTCTCTCCCAGCTGCAATGCCTGAATCCGTGTCAGCCCCTGGGGATGCGTCAACTTCTGAAGGCATGTGGCCCGGGGCATGAGTGGTGACAGGGAGGGGAGGAGGAGGGTGCGGGGAGTAGGGGGAGGGCGAGGAGGATGGTGAGAGGTTGGTGGTGACGAGGGAAGAGGGGGGAGGAGGAAGGGGGGGGAAGGGGTGCAGAATGATGAGAGACCGACTTTTGGAGTATGGACAGGTGGAAGGCGAGCAGGATGGTGAAGCGGATGGTGAGTGGGGTTAGTGGGGGTGGGGAGTGTGGTGGGATGGGGAGTGCGGTGGGGGTGGTGATAGTCTGCCTTGTTGTTTTACAAATCAGACCATACCGTACCTCACGCCCTTTACCTCACGCCCTTTACCTCACGCCCCTACCTTTCGCCCGTACCTCATGCCCATTCCTCATGCTATTCCTCATACCCATACCTCACTCCCTCACTCCCATATCCCACACACCATACCATACCCATTCGTTTTCAGATGCCCCTTCAATCGTCGTGCCATACCGTGTGCAGCAGCAGCGCAGCGGCCGAGTGAACTGCAAGGCCCCTCCAGAGGGGAGGGAGGGGGGCAGTGTGGGGTGCACGCGCGTGCGAAGGATGCAGGTTGGGGAGTGTGGTTGGCGCACAAGAGGCAGGGTGGGCGGACGGGCTGCTGGGCGGGTGTGGTGCAGACAGGCAGGCCCTTGCCAGGCAGATGATTGTCAGCCAGTGGCGGGTAAAAGATCAGGAGGGGGAGAGCAGCCTGCCAGGGCAGTGCAGGAGATGAGTAGATGATCGGCACATGATACGCACATGATACGCACATGATACGCACATGATACGCACATGATACGCACATGATACGCACATGATACGCACATGATACGCACATGATACGCACATGATACGCACATGATACGCACATGATACGCACATGATACGCACATGATACGCCCATGATACGCACATGATACGCACATGATACGCACATGATACGCACATGATACGCACATGATACGCACATGATACGCACATGATACGCACATGATACGCACATGATACGCACATGATACGCACATGTCACGCACATGAGACGCACATGATACGCACATGATACGCACATGATACGCACATGATACGCACATGAGACGCACATGATTTGCACATGACACGCACATGATACGCACATGACACGCACATGACACGCACATGACACGCACATGACACGCACATGACACGCACATGATACGCACATGACACGCACATGACACGCACATGATACGCACATGACACGCACATGACACGCACATGACACGCACATGACACGCACATGACACGCACATGACACGCACATGACACGCACATGACACGCACATGACACGCACATGACACGCACATCATACGCACATGATAGGCACATGATACGCACATGATACGCACATGATACGCACATGACACGCACATGATAGGCACATGACAGGCACATGACAGGCATGGGCCATGGCAATGGGGAACGAGGTGGGGGGGGCGAGGAGATGAAGCAAGGTGGGGCGTTGTGGTCATTGCAATGTGAACAGTGGAGCATGAGCAGCGTGACATGGACATTATGATGGACAGCACCGCACCGCACAGCACAGCACCGCATCGCACAGCACCTGGATGATGGAGTGGTGCAAGAAAGGGAAGGGCAGGCAGGTCTATGACAGCACAGCACTAGACTGCACCTGGATGACGGAAGGGGAAGGGCAGGTTCATGACAGCCGGTGCTCCCTGCAGCTGCAGCGAAAAGCGAGCACACTCCCCCCCTTCCTCGTGCTGCCGCCAATGGTTAGCCTGACGGCATATGCATGGGGCGTGGTGGGATGGGAGGGGGGAGGTGCATAGGGGATGGGGCATGCAGGAAGGGGAAGGGCAGGTCCATGACAGCCGGTGATCCCTGCAGCTGCAGTGTAAGACATGAGGCATGGTTATGGGGCATGAGGAAAGGGAAGAGCGAAGCTCTTGTGGTGCTTGCTGCAGCCGCAGCGCCAGGCGAAGGCACTCACCCCCTTGCTCGTGCTGCCGCCAGTGGGACGCCTGCGGGGATGCATGGTGTGATAGGTCGTGCGGCATGGGGCATGGCGCAAGGAGCATGGAGCATCGGGGATGGGGCATGGGGTACGGGTGATGGCGCATGGGGCATGGAGATGGGTGATGGGGCATGAGGCATGAGGTATGGGGTTTGAGATGGGGGTGGGGGTGGGGAATCGACCACGAGAGATGGGCATAAAGCATGGGGAATGGGGCATGGGGCATGAAGAGTGGGATAAAGGAAGGACGTTCGGGAGATGAAGGAGAGACGAGAGAGGGAGAGCGAGCAAAGGCTCCAAGGCAGAGCGATTAGTACGTGTAGAAGCAAATTCACCAAATTTATGACCTACCATTTCTGGTCTTAGGGGGAAAAAACCTGGGAGAGTAGATGAGGGGAGGGGAGGGGGAAAACGAAGGGGGCGGAGGACGGGGGGCAGGGCCTTGGCGCTGATGTGTACACGGGCTGGGAGCGAGCAGGCCGTTGGTAGTGCGCATGAGCTGCGCGCACAAGCTGCGCGCACGGGCTGTGCGCACGAGCTGCGCGCACGAGCTGCGCGCAGTGGCGAACTGGCGAACGGTGGGCCGTTGGGCGACAAGTGGCGCGCGTGAGCTGCTGGCGTGAGCTACGCGCAAGCCATCTCGCGCTGCGTCACGCACTGCTACGGCGCGCACCTGGTGTCGCCTGCTATGTTAGAGGGCCCTACGACAGCAAGGGCCCTCACGAAGCTGTTGACTCAGTCGTATGCGGTGGGCGACTACTAGCGTTGACGACACCAACTCGGGAAAGACGGTGGTCACGCATTGACTAGCAGCAGCTGCGATGGAGCTTGTGCTAGTCTATGGGAGTCTTGCGAGCCTTCCTTGCAAGGCACGCCACTTCCTAGCAAGTTTGAGGGTGTCTTGTATGGTGTAGCCGAGTTGGGGTTGGTGTTTGGTGGTGTGACGTGCTTGGCGAACCATTCCGCTGCTGAGTCAGGTTGGGATTGGCCGAGGCGCGTTCACCCACCCACACGACAGTTTCGTGGGGTTGGGTTACTCTGCAGCGCCACGCCAACTTTGTGAAACCTCCCCGTAGCTTATATCTATCTTGTGTGTTTGCTTTTGCATTCATAGTTGATGTTACAATTTTACTTGGCTCAAATGCTACTTCAATTCTCACTAAGTCCTTAGAGACGAACGCTACTGAAACGCTACCGAGTTGCTGGCGCAACATCATTCCTATAGCAGGAACTCTCTCGCTATCGCTACGCTCTCTAATATATTCCTTCATGCTACTGTAAATTACGACGCCGCAGTCGCCGCAACGGATACGGCCATTTCATGGCGTCGCGGTACGTGGCACTGCACGTCATCAAGAGCGTAACTTAGAGTAGCGACGCGCAGCACGATAAAATCGGCGGACGCAGCGCACTGGATAATATTGTCAAAATAGTAGCTAGAGAAGCTTTAGGAGCCAAGGTAGGAACCATAGCTTAGAGTAACGTTAGTTAGGAAGAGTAAGGGTTTCAATATAGGAGGCGTTATCCGTGCAGCTATATAAGAGTGCCAGTAGGCATGGAGAAAGGTTCTAGGTATTGTATTTAAAGTGCCACAACACACCCAGCAGTATATTTGTAAGGAAAATTCCTTTTCCTTACTTCGCATCCCTGCTCAACGCGTACATCACTGTAGCACCACAGTCAGCACCGTTACCACTCGCAACCCTCGCATCGACAATCCGCCCGCCATCTTCGCACGTCGCACCCCGACCTCACGGCTCGGCGGGTAACCCGCGCTCCGGGCCTCCGCTTCGACACTTTTCCCAACCTCAGGCCCAGGCCCGTCGCGCGACAACCACAGTCCATTACCGTTACCACTGTAGTTTCGCTATATATTCTTCGCTCATGCCTTCGCTCATTGTACTCTTGCTTCAATAGTGCAATTCTCGTTCGTTCACTCAATTGCACTCGTAACAATATTATACTAGTTGCACAATACTATCCCCTCCCTTCTCACCTTTCCACCCAGGCCCCTAGATTCGTTTTGAGGTAGTCTGACGCCTCAGAGTACACCCCTCTTCCTAGTCTGGCTGTCAGAGTTACCTATTTTTTGTAGTCTGAAAATTCAGACAACACTACGTTTTTTACGCTGAACGTTCAGAGTTAAACACAATTTCTGTTTTGTCTTAAACTGAAACATAGAATAACGAGATTTACAGCTCTGACAAGGCGAATCTCTACTCTGACAAGGCGAATCTCTACCCTGACAAGGCAAATCTCTGCCTAGGCAGGGCGAATCTTCGCCCTGACAGTTAGAATCTTCACCCTGACAGGGCGAATTTTCGCACTTCGCTCTGTACAGGGCGAATCTCTTCGCTCTGTACAAGGCGAATCTTCGCACTTCACCCTAGGCAGGGCGAATCTCTTCCTTGACAGGGCGGATTTTTGCCCTGACAGGTTGACTCTTCGGTGTGATAGAGGGCAAAAGTGGTGTGACAGGGCAAGCGTGTGCCCGAAGGGCCCATCTGACGCATCAGGGGGGTTCAAAACCTAGCGAGGACCCTGCTCGGGAGTTTGCGGTGCCGCGCTCGGGAAATTTTGGTTTCCCGCCCGTGATTGACGGTGAGTGCTACACGCCACCGGGCTGGCGGAAACCGCTGTATTACGGGTTTCAGGGCGCACCCCCGATACAAGTATGAGGCTCAGCCTACACTAATAAAATTAGGCTGAAATTTCAGACAACTCATAAAGCAAAACTCTGAAAAATCAGACAAGGTACATAAAGATATTCTTAGACTTCAGAATAGGTACAAAAAAAAAAGTCTGAACGGACTCTGAATCAGACTACAAAGTCTGATATCTAGGGCCCTGTTTCCACCGTATATTTGGCTCGAGCTAGAACATTCTCTAGATTTTTGGGGATCTGGATCTTACCCTTATATCCCCTAATGGTAAGCTCTGTGAGGCGGCTAAAGCCCTCCAGGTACTCTGGCAACGATTTCATCTGCTCGCAGTGAATCAGCCGCAACTTCCTGATGCGATTGAAGCAGGCAAAGCTCTTGGGCAGGCATGTAAACCTTGACTCGTGAATCTCCAAAGTCCTCAGCTTGGGCGGGCAGGTGATATTTCCGGTCCAACCCCGCTTAAAGCGACGGTGCACATTTGCCACCCGAAACCCAAAACCCTGGCGAACTGTTACTGCGGAGGAAAAGTGTCCGCACGAAATCCAGGTTTTCGTTGGCCAACACTTTCGCGCTGGCAAGCCTGGTTCAAAACAAAAACTTCTGAACCCCCGCTTGTCAAATCTAGACCCTCGTTTTAACTCCCATATTGGACAGCCGTAGAAAGCGCAGTGAAGTGAGGGAAGAGAGGCATTCCAATGTCCTGGATGATGCGAGAAGAGGGTTGAGGATCAGATTTTCAAGCCTTGGCATCACTGGAATCGGAAATTTGCTGCGTGGTTGATCCACTTGGAAAAAAGTCAGGTTTGGGTGAGCAGTCAGCCGAGTCTCGTAACCAGGCCCGGCCCTCTGTAGCATGTGCCTCAGGTTTGGCAGAGCACCAACCTGAGCGGTGGAGTGTATGGCTTGGAAGACCCTGAGGTTTGGAAAGAAGCAGTCTGAGTCCTGGACTGGTGGGCAGCGGACGTTCACGAGCTTGAGCTGTGTGATTGTAGAGGAGGCCCAGGGGGACAGGCTCTGCTCGTTATTAGAACTCCCATGCAGAGTCAAGGACTGTAGAGCAGGAGGGAGAAACGGGCGAGGATTCTGGGCTTGTC